ACTTCTACTTTTTGATTCTTATGTAATAGTTCCTAGTTTAAGATGCTAATTAAACTGTATGAGAGGGTGACATTTTGACCTTGTGAAAGTCTCCCAAATACTGATTACAGCCGAACAAGGATTTTACCATTACTCTGTGGAGGTACCCAACTATTTTAAACTGTGGATAATGTTCAGTGTCTTGAAAAGATGGGGATTTATGTGCGTCCAGCTTGTAATGGGTGCTATTGCTTGTGCAATACAATTAATTGGTATTGTTTCAGATTCTTCCAAATAATGTACTGTGCTGCATTTTTCTTCCAATAATATTCTTTGTGGAACTTTGGTGGCACTGATTTTTCTTGGATTATTCATTGATACTCTTTCCAGCCAGTTGTAAAACCTAGTATCTAAAAAATACTCAGAAGGTAATGCTGAAACTACTTTGAAGCTATTGATGTATTTCAGAAATATGATATGAAATTAAGCAAACTACGCCTGGCTGTTTGCCTGGCTTAGATACAAGCACTTTCTCCTGTTGGGAGTAACAACTCACTGGCTGAACAGCAGTTCTTCACTGCACAAGTTGTCAGCTGCACCCACATCAGTAACTCCCATAGAAGTATGGCTGCTCACCCACAACTGTCACCACCATTTTGGGGTTCAATGTAAAGATGTTCATGCTTATCTAGTCTTGCAGGTAAGCATACAGGAGTCAGCCTACATGGAAAATAAATACTGTAGAAATGGCTTTTAATAATTCATAGGACGGTCTGTCCAATCACAACGTTAATTTTTCTTGCAACTTAGAAATTTGTTGTTAATGTGATGTAGACTCAATCAGTAGTTGATTCACACATTTCAAGATTCATCTGTCTGGGCATTTAAATTACTCTAGAGGCAATCTATAAACTTACCTGACTTCAAATGAAAGGTCATCAGCATCAGTCATGTCCAAAAGTTACTTATTAAATACTTGGCTTTGACTTGAATATAAAATGAACTGAAAAGGAAAAAAACCCCAACAAATAGGTGATTAGTAATTGTACAAAACCAGAATAATACAAAACTGTTAAAATTAAAGTGTGATTGCTAGGAAAGATGCCATCATTTATCACACAGAAAATTTGGAATGTTGCTAGACAAGTTAGCTTGGCATTTCCAATGTGTGGTGGTGTACTAACACAAGTTACAGGGCATTCAGAATTCGTGCGGTGAAGCATCATAAGCCTTTCCCAGTTTTGTTTGGGGTATTAAGTTTTTCTCTAATGAAAAAAGAATAAAAGGGGCATGGAGAGCGCAGCAGCGTATCATGGCTTTTTATTAAGGTTGATTTATTGCGCCTGTTATACATGGTAGGTTTCTGGACAATAGAAGTGCATTCAGCAGTTGCTATTTGGAGGAAATACAGGTGATTAAGTACGAGGAGGCTTGGTTAGCTGATGTGTCTGGAGAACAACTGTGCCAGGTCTTTTCTTAGCCTGTGCTTGGAAAGGAGAACTTTCATGGCAACAAGTTTACTAGACCGCTCTCACTGCAGATCTTATTGTTATCATTGTTGTGTAAACGGTATTATTGTTAAGCAAATGTTTAAAGGACATGAAAAAAAAAACCCACCAAAAAATTTGTGATCTAAATCTCAAAATCTAATGTTACCATTTCTCTCATTCTAATCAAAACAAGGTGTTGCTAATTTTCTTGGAATACATCTATTTAAATACTGGGAAAGCTTTGAAGGGATTGTAAGAATTAAATGATGCTTGCAGAGAAAGATGAAGGGAGCAGCAGAGAATGACAGAACAGTTTAGGCTGGAAAGAACCTCTGGACCCCATCAGATACAGTCCCTCCTGTTCAGAGCCAGGCCAGCTTCAAAGTTGGAACCAACTTCGATTTGGTTGCCAAAGGCCTTATCCAGCCACATTTTGGATGTTTCCAAGGATGAAGATTCCACAGCCTTGCTAGGCAACCTTTTCCAATGTTTGACTGCTCTCATTGTGGACAAAAATCTCCCTGCTATCTAATTCCTTGTTGCAAGGCTAGCCATCTGTTGTATAGGTTGTTTTGAATAGTATTGCTTATTCTTAATGAGTCCTATGAGGCAAAACACTTAAACTCTCACTTTTCAAATTCAAATAAACCAGTGTTCTGCAAAACTAATTGTTAGTGGCAATGATTTCATTTCTCTCCTCCCTCTCAAGTCCTAAGGATTGAAGCTGCAGATTTGCAGAAAGTGTTGGTTTTGTATGTCTTCTTGTCTATGAAATTACCATCTGCATTTTACGTAGTAACGGAACTATCCTTTTGTTTCTCTGCTCTTACTATTTGAAGTGCAAAACCTGTCCCAAAAGGCAATTGCTCAGATATTTAAGAAGTGTTTACCTTCCGGCTGAAACTTTATTATTAGCTGGTAATATTTAGTCTATTAGTAATGGACTTGCTCTTTAATTACAGCAAGAGGACTAATTCATCTTCTGAAGGCCTGGTGAATTTATTTCATGGGAAATAATAAAACATTTGTAAAAGTGCTAGTATGGTATAATGGATAACTTCATTTCCTAAGTAATCCTAGAGCACTTCTGGAATATAGTCTTTTTTTCTCAGTCTTAATTGTAGAGTGAGTTATTAATGACTAAAAGGCTGCAAATGAGAGCTTGCTGACAGTTTGTCTGTCGCTGGAGACTAAAGCTGACAATGTACTTGAATTTTTAAAGCTAACTATGTATTTGCATTTTTGCTAGTAGTCCTAGCCTAAGTATCAAAGGTTAAACAGACTGCTTCAGTCCTGATTTAAAAGAGAAGACTGTTAGCTTAAAACTGTTTGAACTGTGTGACAAAGATGGAGTTTAATTGTTACTGTTATAATTTATTTATTATTTTCTTTGACATCTGCAAGTCCTATTCCTTTCTTTGGATGTATACTCAGAATATAAACCTATGTAAAAGTGCTTCTTCAGAAAACAATACTCCTCAGTCCTTTTGTGAGAAAAAAAAATCACGGTTGCTTTCTAGATGTTAGCACAGCAGGCTTACTGGAAATACATTCTCTTCATCTCTGATTTCATGGAAAACTGAAGAGTGAGAAACTGCAAAGGTACTTCATTAACCCACCACTGTAGTAGAAGTCAGTTCTCACCACTGTAGAAAATGACTGCTGTTGCTGGTGCCATGGGATAGTTGATGTCCTAATATGTTGTTCACAGTTTTTAATGGCTGCAGGGCTAGAGTTTTTGCAGTAGGCAAGGCTGGAAAAAGTCCTTTTGGTGTAGCGTAAGTTGTCACAGCTTTCAGCTTATCATTGAAAATGTTCATTGTATTGACCCCTTATATATGACTTCCTGTGGCAAGGCATATTGGAAAAGGGGTGAAAAGTTTATAACACAGAAAACATCCTCTGCTGTTCTTGGTCCAAGTGGGACTTAGTGTGAAGTTTGTGATTTTGGTTGTGTGTTTTTTTTGTTGTTGTCCTTGGATATTTGTTTTTGTTTTTGTTTTGTGGTGGCTTTTGTTTGCTTTTGTGTTTTTGTTTAGGTCTGGGCATGTCCTGAGCAATTTACATTTGAATGTTATGGATGCATGAGCTGTTTGATTTTTTTTTTTTTTTTTTTTTTTTTTTTAAGCTGGTCTTTACAGAAAGGCTGTTACCTCTTTGGAATTTCATTACTTTGAAACCCCAAAATATTTCTTTATGCCTTATTCTGTTTCTGGGGGGACATCCTGCTATGCTAGACAATTGGGTCAAATCTGTAAGACCTGAAATCACTGGGCATTATGGGAGGAAAAACCTCAAATCCTCTTTAAAACAAACAAAAAAAATTGATGAAGTGTTGATTTTTGGCTCTTTGAGGTACAATTCATTTAAAAGCCTTATTATTTTTGTTTTCTGAATATGTTCACAATGTATTAACGTTTTGCTGCATTTGATCAGAATTCTAGTTTTGGATGTTGTTTATGTAAATATTGTTAACTAAACTCATAAGAATTCAGAACCATAAATAAGGAAGCTCTTGGTTCATGACTCTAATTCTAAGGTTCCCTAAGAGCATGTCAGCCATGACCTTTCTAATTCTGAAATAAGACCTTCAATTTCTTACTTTTTAAAGATTTGTGATTTTTATAGATTGCTGCTTTAGACAGGGCTGCAGAATAAGGGGCTGAGTAGGTATGAGACTCTGCAGAAAGTGTCTTGTGTTTGCTATACAACCAATTCAAATTATCTGCTTTGGGGAGGAGGGAAGACTACCAGTTTATCTTGAAATAAGCTTTCTTCACTCCATATTTTTGCAGTACATGAGAACAGTTACACAGATAAAGAAAATAATTTTCTTTAATGGATAGCAATATTTCACAGAGGGTACCAAAACAGGTAGATAGTCTGAGGGACAAGTTGGTAGAAAATCCCAATTTTAATTCAACTCAGATGAAATCCTAAATTATGTTTGTTTATATAGGCCATGCAACTGAACAACTAAGGTTATATATGGTCCTCTGCATGGAGGTCTAAAGAAAAATATTGAAGAAATACCCCACTAGAGAGAACAAAGCATGCAGCAAACGGCTTCCACAAAATCTCTCTCATTAAATATTACCAGTTGTCTAAAATGTTGTCCAGCAACATTTTGAATTATTTTACTCATTCTGTTCCATGAAATTTACAGAAATACAAATCAGTAATTTATGTTGTGTAATTTCTATGTTATTTTTAAATAATCTGGTAACAGTCAGGTGTAAATAATCATAAATTCAAGTGTGTCTCCCTAACTAAGGGTTGCAACTAGTTTACTTTTAAAACATTAACCTGTTTAATCATTAAATGGTAGTGTGCCATTGGCAAAGTCAACACGAATGCAGGAAGGAGCTCAAAACATTTCTGGCTTGAAAAGTACCTCAGAAATCTGTTTCTGGAGTAGCAGCAGCAAAGCATCAATGTAAACAGTTCTGCCTTTTAGAGATCATAGATATATTTTACTGAGTTTAGCAATATTAATTTCTTTTTTCTTTTTTCTTTTTTTTTTCTTTTCAGCCATAATCAGCAGACCACGTCATTTAGACATCCTGTGACAGGACAGGTTTCTCCAGAAAATATTGAATTTATTTTACGAGAAGAGTAAGTAGTTTTATACCCCCGTCAAGAAATCTAAAACAGTAACGCATTTACCTACTGTAGTTCAGTAGTTTGAAAATTCTTCTCTTATTATAGCAAAAACGGTTTATACTTAAAAATTTACTTCTTATTGTGATAGTGTGTTTTTGATTCTAGCACTGTTCCACATTAGGGCTTGAGAGAAAATCTATACCAAATCTTTAAAATCAAACAAACAACACCCCGCTCCCCCCCGCAAACAAACAAAATGTGCAGTATAAATAGGATACTTTAAGTGCTTTAGCCTTATATAAATGTCAAATACACACACCATAAATGTAAAATGTCTTTACAGCAAACTGGAAAGTTTGTACTGAAATTGAAAGACACAAAATACTACTAGTTTCCATTGTAATTCCTTGGTTTTCTTATGTTTTAGGTTTTCTACGTTCCCTGTCTTGGGCTGGTATTTATTTAAAAAAAACAATTGATGAGGCATTCTTCAATTTATTCTAGAGAAATGGAATCGCATATATTAGTTTCCATCATATTTTATCTTGATTGTCTGATTTAAAAAAAAAAAAAGAAAAAAAAGCTTGTCTTCAAAGTGGTGTATCTGGCCATGTCTTTGGATCACTCCGTGTTTCACTGTAGGGTTTAACTACTCCTGTCATCCTTGCTGCCTGCTAGATTGCTCCTGGAATCCCTTCTGTAATGGGATGACTGGATATCTTCCCTAAACAGAGTGTAGGAGAAAGTTCTACATCGCTTCAAAAACCACTCCAAAGGGCAAGAGCAATGGGACACCACCAGATAGCTTTTCCTTTTCCAGCCTGGTCTTCCAACACTGTTGGAAGCAGCTTCTAGCCCTTCATGCATCACAGAGGCTGGGCATCATGCTGTGATGACAGCTGTGATGCGTGTGGTGGTTTGTATGGCTGCCTGCACGATTCTGAACACTTTGTGTTTTAAATTATTTCACATTTAATTTGCTTTACATTTCATTTAAAGCAGTATAGCATTAATTAAAATGGGGCCCAGAGAAGGGCCATGTGAGACTCCCAGGAGACTGAGGCTTTTCTGGCAATGTCTTCTATGACGGACTCAGAGAGGAAAGGAGAAGTAGAGCAGGACTGCGCAGCCCTCTGCTCAGAGCTTCTGATACAGCCCTGAGAAGTGCTTCTCGTATGCTTTAAAAAACGAACCATCCAAACAAAAACAGCAATAGAAACAAAACCCCAACTAAACAGCTGACCAAGACCTCCCCCAAGAGCAAATCAAATCCAAGGGCCTATCCTATGTTGAGACCCATGCTGAGAACCAGCATGAAATAGAATGTTGGATGCATTTTGCAGTGTGTGGGAGAGGCCTGTGATTAGGTACTAAGCTGGGGCATAGCTCCTGAGTTGGAGGTCATCCCGGGTGTTATGAGCTGCGCGGGTGGTTTGCTGCTCGGGAGGGCTTTGGATCATTACAAAGAAGCTTCTCCAAGTTGTTTAGTGAGGAGAACAGGTATCTTGCAACAGAGCAAGTCTCAGAGACAGCATGGACAACGGCCACTGTGCATCTGTGTTCCAACTTCCATCTGTTAATTGATTTTTATTCAATATGTTTTAAAGGTTTGATCAAATTTAATATAAAGAAAATTTGTACATGTGTAAGGGAAAATAGGTGTTTGGATAGGAACTCCTTGGAGTGCCTCCCTGGGTTAGTTACGCTTCCCTGCGCTGTGTCTGGTTTTGTAATCATGGTGGCAGATAAATTATTAAAAGCAAAATTGAAAGTACAACTTATTGGTGGCACATGATTTTAGTGATCTTTTGTGTATGTTAGAAACTTTTTTGGAAGAGAAATTAAGGTGTTTATTTGGAGGGCAATCAGAAGAACAGGCATAACTTCTCATCTCTAGATTTCAGTTACACTAAGATGGTATCAAAAGCAGGAAAAAGATCCTTTAATGTAGCAGAATTAAGAGAGGTGGTTTTTATTCTAAAAGGAGGGAATGGCTGGAGGGATATAAAGAGGAGTACATGTTTGTAGTGACTGCTCAGGAAACAGTCTTTGTAAGAAGATTTTTCTAAGCTTCGGTGTTTTTGAAATTAGATTATTTTAATATATCAGTTCAAATTACTTCAAAGATGCCATTTTCAAGTGCGTGGGATGCACTGGTTTCCTTAGTTGTGTACTACTTCTGTGTGACAGTGTAGGTTTACACAGATGCTGGTCATCACAGTCATATCTGAACTCTTGTCAAACGACACTATTGTCATATGTGGATGTCTCTGCTGAAATCCAAGGAGCTGTTAGCACCTCTCTGTTTTTAGGCCTAGGAATCATAGTGGGGCTATGCTGCCTTTTCAGTTCTTTTCCCTCAGACATCAGGGATTTGTTTGGAATCGGTGATGCTGATCATGTATTAGTTTAGAATCAGTGTTGTAGATAGTACCTTGTGATGAAATGACTTTCACAAACAGGATGCAGTCAGAAAGATAGTCTCTGGATTTGCATGGTCTGTGGAAACTTTCCATCATGGGATCCTGTTGACCAAAAGTACTTTTTTCTATAGTTGAAGATTTTTCTATAGCTGAAGACTTCAGACAGTGCTACTGTCTGAAGTAGTGGCACTGTTAAGGGTTTCATAAATGGCAATTTGTTGTCCTTCAGTGATGTTGTGATGTGATTTATTACTTATGGGTTGATTTTAATTTAAGATTAGGGCCAAAACCAGGAGTTGTCACAGATGTTGACTGGGAGCTACTGGGGAGATGTAAGCACACTTTTTCAGGCTGCAACAATTGTATCTATTAAAAGGACACATTTAACATCAGAAAAATATTTTATAGTAATCTAGAAATGATGAATGTATAGACTGCTCTGGCCATTTCTCATCCAGGAAGCAATGTTCTGGCAGGAAGACTTGAAATGAAGTTTTGGAAAATGATGTCAATAAATGATGTAATCCTAGCTTGATTATGAGTCAGTTATGAACCGGGTGGCCTTGCCTCACTTGATCAAGTGAGAACTGGATACTTTCAGTAAAAGGCTGAGCCTATATTTCACCCGTCTTTTCCTAAGGCATTTCCCCTTTTAAACAGTATCTTATCAATCTTGCTTTTTAATCCAAAATCTGATTTCCTCAATGCCATTGTAACTGGAAGATAAAACCAAAGAGTGTTGCCTGGAACCTGTAAATTTTGAATTACGTTATCTTTTGATCCTTATATTATTCCTTCTTCATAAAGGTGTTCTTATGGAGATTGTGGTGTTTTGTTTTTGGTTTTTTTTGGCAAAATAGTGATTAATAATTCCTTATTTCCTAACCCATTCTTAGCTGAGACCACTGTCAAATCCCCACCTCTCATTCTGTTTTCCTGTGCTTAGCAGCTTTGGTCACTTAGTGTGTGGGATGTGTGTTCTGTACCTTTCACTAGCTGTGCTTGAAAGCTAGCTTTTCTCTATGACACTTCTAGATTTGTCTTTTTTTCTGATGGGGTGATTGATTATAGGTGAATGCAGTATTCAATGTACGAGCTTTTTTTTTTTAAAAAAATAATAATTTAATAGTACTTTTTCATCTGTATTCCTTTCCTAATAATTCTTAACATACATTGGCTGCTGCTACTCATTGTGCTAAGATTTAAAAATATCCTTTCCTCAGATTGCTAATGTTGTTTTGAGCAATGAAAGATGTAGAGTTGTTTTTAATTTTTTCCTCCTTTGAATTAGTTTTCTGTTGTTGACACTGAATTCAGTTTGGCATCTTATCACATGGTTACTCATATCTTAAGATTATTTTTCTGTCTGTTCCTGTCAGCATTTCAGTTTTTGTCCAGAATAATTTTTGTCCACTATTGACTTGGTCATCTCACAGTTTTCAGGATCACTTCTAAATAATTTGAACACCTTAGCTGTATTGGAGGTCCCTCTGGTAGCCTCTCTCCATTTCACAACTGTCTTTTAATTTCTGTGCTTTACTTTCATGTGTTTAATGAACCTTTATTCCACAACGGGACCTTTCCAAAACAACCAATGGAAAAATGAGAATTAATGATGAGGCTGCTGGATAGGTGTTAGATCTAGCTTAACCACATCATTATACACTCATTTCTTTGAAAAATCTATTATAGAATTACTTAGGATAGATGTATGTAATGTTTAGATTTCATGTCTTTTATCTTTCTTTAAATAATAACGGAATCACAGAATGGTCAGGGTTGGAGGGGACTCTGGAGATCATCTAGTCCAACCCCCCTGCCAGAGCAGGGTCACCTACAACAGGTTGCACAGGACGGCGTCCAGGCAGGTTTTGAATGTCTCCAGAGGGGGAGACTCTACAGCCTCTCTGGGCAGCCTGTTCCAGTGCTCTGCCACCCTCAAAGTAAAGAAGTTCCTCCTCGTGTTTTGGTGGAACTTCCTGTGTTCAAGTTTGTGCCTTTTACCTCTTGTCCTATCACTGGGCATCACTGAAAAAAGACTGTTCCCATCTACCTGGCACCCTCCCTTTAAGTATTTGTAAGTATTGATAGGATGCCCCCATAGTCTTCTCCAGACTAAAAAGACCCAAGTCCCTCAGCCTTTCCTCATAAGAAAGATGCTTCAGTGCCCTAATCATCTTTGGACCCTCTCCACCCTGTCTCTCTTGAACTGGGAGAGTTCAAGCCCAGAACTCTGAGCCCAGAACTGGACACAATATGCCAGATGGGGCCTCATCAGGGCAGAGTAGAGGGGGAGGATGACCTCCTTCGACCTGCTGGCCACGCTCTTCTTGACAAACCCCAGGATGCCATTGGCTTTCTTGGCCACCAGGGCACATTGCTGGCTCATGGTCATCCTGTTGTCCACCGAGACCCCACACAGCTGCTTTCTAGCAGGTGAGCCCCTAACCTGTACTAATGCATGGGGTTATTGGAAAAAGCAGGTACTTACAGCCTTGTGTCTAACTGTATCTGTTGCTAAACACTGGTAGTTGTGTATTAGAACCTTTACAATATATTTGTGATAGTAGTATGTTTGCAAGTGACAAGCTAGTACTTTAAAGTTAAAAAACATAAGACTTCAACATAAATGCAGAAATAAAGAAAACAAATAGCGTGCTTAACCCAATGAGTGTTATCTTCTTCTTTGCCTGTTTTTTGTGCAACTGACAAAGCCTGTGTATCACCTCTGGGGATAGAGCCATCTTATTTTGTCTATTGCATTTGGTTACTATAGCAGCGAAAATATCAGGTGGAGAGAAAGGAGGAAACCCAGACAGCCCCAAAACAAACATCTGCCAGGTTTACTTGTATAGAAATACTAGGACAGTTAATTTTTTATCTAGCTGAGGAGATTTATTAGTATTAAAACTAGATTGGCGTGATGTTATTGTGTCGGATTTTGTTCCAACAAAATAAACTTTTAAAGTTGCTGATATGAATGCGGATCTTCTAAGTCGATTAATCTTGATGATCCTTTAGAGGAAAGGAATGTGTTGTCTCGTGAGTACTGCATTTTCAATATTGGCTTTTTTTGTTGTTTTTCAGTGATTTTTTTGTTTTGTTTTGTTTTAATAAGCCAAGTACTGGCCATGTAATTCTTTTAGCTGATGAATGTGATTTCTGTAGGCATACTGGCCCTGTTTGAGTAGAGTAGGGAGCTGCTTGACAGGAGATACTAGATAGAGTGTTATTTTCAAGTATTTTAAAAAGATTTTACAAGGGACTAGAGCTCTGTATGTAAATACTGCAATTCTCCATGTGTATGCACACACCTGGGGAAGGCAGTAAGAAAAATATCCTGAAAATAGACAAAAAATAGCGCTATGAAGACAGAGTGGGGTATCTTGGATAATAGATATTATCAAACATCTTTGGTAACAGTGATTCTGAACTAATGTTTCTGAATGCACAGAGTTAATGCATTTTTACTTATTTTTAAGATCAATCTGTAAATGCTATTAGTATTAACTCCATTCACATGCTGGGATGTTTCAGGTAATACTGCATATTCTTATTTGCTTTTAAAAACAAACTGAGAATATTAATTAGCTATTTAATAGACTTGAATACTTGAGTTTTGTTATGTTCTGATTTCATGCAAATCTATTTCATCCTTGAAATACTATATACAAGTAGTAAGATTAATTTTGGTGTTTTCTGTTACATCTCAGGTACAGAAAGTTTGGATCACCAGTGTTTGCTGCCGAAGGTGGTTTTTGTTTTAGGAGAATAGTAATATATTTTGTCTTTCAGTGGACTTACTGTCTCTTTTGCTGGCTATTTGAGTTCTTCCACATGGCAACAACCTCACATTTTTTTTTAAAAAAAATTTGTCCTTGTGAGTTTGTTCTTTTCTCAGCTGAAGTTTGTCATTAATGAAATGTCATTTCCATAGAAAAGGAAAGCTTGATTTATTGGCAGTGATCATTTTCAGTAGCAAGTAGAAGAGAAGTAGCTAAAAGGCCAAATTACAAATGCTTAGAAATTGTGCATTTATTTTTCTGTATTGCAGTATGATTTTCTGATAGCAGTGATCTTGTTAAACATATAAAGTTTATCTTCTTCTGTAGTTCTAGATTTATTTATTTTTTTAAAAAATGCAGTATGTTTAACGTACTGTGAAAACAGTATCTTGTGGAGTAGTGAAAATCTGTTCAATCTGAGTTTGCTTACCCTAATTTGTAGGTTAAAACCATTCCTCTGCGGTTATTTTTCTTTCTGTATCAATGTTTTTATTGGAAAAATTAATTCTGATTTGATGAAAGTTAAATTTTATTTTTCACTTTTGTCTTTCCTGAGAAAGTTAACTCTCTATGAAATAGTTACTCTATAAAATGAAGAAATGTAATCTAATCAGATTATCTATAGTCTGGAAAGCATACAGATTTTCTGAACACTTCTTCCCTCCACCTGCTCCTTTTCCCACTCCTTGCATCAGGGAGCATCTGGAAAATAGCATGTATTGTGCAAGTGTTCTACAGTATAAAATAGTCTGTGGTGTGGACATAGTAAAGAATCTAAACCTCAAGGGAAAAAGAGAAAGTTTGTGTCTTCTAAGGCAAGACGTTTTCTTTGGATGTGTTTTGTTTTCATATTTTTGTGACTCATTTCTAAGGGTCTTCTTAATGATATCAAATCTAATACTTTAAATTCATTTGGAGGAGGCACTGTCACATCTCTGTTAGTGTTCCTCCCTCCTTGAAATACCTACTCTCTGTTTAATTGTCTCGAGCAGGGAAATAGAACCTTTTTGGTAAGTAAATATTTGGAAAAGGCAAGTAAGATGGTTTCGCAAGTAAGATGCAAGCACATTGTAAGTCTGCATTTTCTACCTGTTTTAAAAGTTTATAAAGTGGGAAAGGAACAAGTGAGAACAGGGTCAAAAACAGATAACAAAACTGGCTGATCAACAGAAATAGCTTAGTCTGGCAGCGTTATATACGGGAAGTGTCTTAATCTGCTCTTTGCTGAAACTGGGTATTCCTAAAGCTGATTAAATGCTGAAGTAGGGTATCTGGTCTGTAAGAGGTAAGGCAAATTGACTCAAACTGATGTGATGAAGCTGTCACGCATTAAAGGCTGGCCAAGGATTTTAGGGACTTGCTGTAGTTTGTTCTCATATGTTGGACCTGAACTTATTTATAAAAGCTAGAAAGAAGGGATTTATGCCAGATAAGCAAGGCATAAAGGAAATGGGATCAAAGTTGTGTTACTTCCTTGCAAGCTTAATTGAAACTGGGTGGTCACAAATGTACGAATATGCTTCCCCTAACACCAAACCAATTATAAAGGCTTTTGGACACAGGTAATTGTTTAGGTTGTAACTGGGGAAGAGCAATGGTGTGGCAAACACCTTGTCCTCAGTTAAACCCTGTGTTGAGCTACTACAATGACAAAGACTTCTTCTGTGTTCTTATGAGTGATAACTGCTCAGAATTACTGTTCTCTTCAGAATTCGGTTGATTTTCAGTGGTAGCAACAGTAATGTTTGGCGTGGCTTGTGTGTCTTGTTAATAGTTTTGTTTTTTCTGATGTGACTGTATTATTACTTGTTCCTAAAATACAATTTGCTAAACTGTGTTAATGATTTTTGAACATACCACCTGTGGGTTTAATTCGCAAGTTGGTGTCGAGGTTGGTTGCTGAGGCTTCTCTTCACAACCTGCATCTGGGATTCCAAAAGATTTTGCACTTCATTTATCCTCTCATTTCTTCACCTGGGCAGCTGTGCTGAATTCTCGTTGAACAGGTTCTTATGGTAGGATTGATCTCACCTCTGCTTTGAACTGGTATCTGCATTTGAGCTAGTTGTCAAGATTTCTTGAATCTGAGTATGACTCAGAAGTTACTTATTTCGAACAATATCTGCCATGAAATGCACCATTTCACTTAAAAGGTATTTTAGTAATTCATACTGTAGTATGAATCATATTTTAGGCAGATTCAAAAATCTAACATTAAGTTAGTGGCAGATCTAACAGTAGGCTAGTCTCACTTTGATTTTTAAATAAGCAGCCTGTTATTGCAAAATGCTGACTCTTATCATTCCCTCCGCAGTACTGACTCTTCCAGATGTTTGCAGCTAAGCCTTTAAATTGGGCACAATTAAGTTTCTTTGTATTTGCCTTATCTTCTCTGAGTGCTCTTAGTTATATCTTGATTCTCTGCTGGACTTGCATACAATTTGGCAAGTTTCCTCTTCCTGATACATTGGCAAATATCAGTCATCAGATGTCACTGGCATCATCTGCTTGAGAAAAACCTGAAATCAAAATAGTAGGGATGGTGCAAAGGAAGTTTCAGATGCATGGGAAGTATTTGACTAGCTTGTCATTCATTTGCTCATTGTGAATCTTAAATATAAAAAGGCAAAGCTGACTGTTTGAAACAACATGCTTTAGATTATCTGTTTTTGTTTTCTAGACAGAATTCATCTATGTCCAAGCAACAAATAAACCAAAGACCTTCAAGCATGGTCAGTGAAACGTCCACTGCAGTAACTACGTCTGCTGTTGATACAAAACCTGGCTCTAAGGTAAAGGAAAACGGCTATTGTTTCAGCTTGATGATTAGAACGTCACTCGTTTTAAATACAATACTCTCTTAATGCTGATTTTAAAAGGGCCATGGGTTTAGCCTAGAAGTCTAACAACTTACCTCAAAGAAGAGGTAATATCTTCTACCCAAGCAAAAACTTTTTTACAGCATAGGAGCACCGTATGCCCACATGACAGTGTTGAATGATAAGGTGAAAAATAGTGATTATTGTGACATTTAAAGTTTGAGAAGCTTCTTAAGAACAAAGTAAGTATAAGTAATGCTAGTATTCTGGCAAGTCTTTTGATAGTCTAGTGCATATGGCAAAAAATGCTGCAGAATACCGGGAATTGTAATTTGCAGATCATACTTTTCCATGAAAACTTACTGCTGTTCCTCCTCTTAGTAACAACTTACATCCTTTTCTGCCATCACTGTAGTGCACAAACAGTGCAGACACCACGTTTACACACAGAACGCCTAATAGAAAAATCCATTATTTGACATTGACAAAGGGCCTGTGTTTATTATTGCACAAAATACAATAAAGTGCTGTACTTGAAGTGTCACCAACTATTTTAATGCTTCTTTGACCTTACAGTAAATTACAGTACAGTGAGAATGGAAAGGGGCTGGATAAAAAGAAGCGCAAAAAAAAAATACTGGAAGAATTAGGAGAGTTAAGATAGATTTCTTAACTTTGCCTGCAGTTTTTAAACTTCAGGGTTTTTTTTAAATGCGAAAGTGTGAAGCCTGTTAAGTAATTGAGTTGAAGAAGGAACTTTGCCGGATTGGTTCCAAAGATATTTTTGTTGAGTTGGAATCGCTTAAAATCTTTTTCTAATGTTTGGAATTGCTTGGGTGAATATTGGAGAACATGAAAACGATTTCAGGAAAAGCTTAAAAAAAAAAAAAAATAATCTATTTCTAAATGTTTTCTTCCATGAATTCCATAATAATTCTTTCAAAGAGTAAGTTCCCAGATGCAGACTTGAGACACAATCATGAAGCCGGAGACACATTCTGTTTGTCATGGCAAAGGTCTCTAGCTATGTACCTATAGCTAATTATTATGTCTTATGAAATGCTTTCGTAGTTTTGTCCTACAAATGCTGGAACAGAACTGTGTAGGTATAGGGTTGGAATCCTGGCCAACTTCAAACTGATTTTTATGTAGAGCTATGCGCATTGAAGTAGCACCAAATCAGAAAGTGCAGGAACAGGTACATGGCTTTCTGCTTGATTCTTCTGCAGAAAGTTAACAGCTAAGAATTGCTACATTTGAGGTGGAGGGGGAAGGTAAGCTGCCAACTGGACAGCAGATTTGTTATTCTCAGTTCAAGTTGAAAGAGGTGAAGACTTCTGGCTTGCTTGTTGTAGTGTTCAAGCCTGAACTTGGATTGAAGAAAACATCTGAAATAAAAAGTAATATTTGGAAAAAGAATTTCACGTGGTCTGTCCAACAGTGTCGGTTTTACAGTGTACAACAAGAGGAACATGTTGGAAAGAAGAAAAAGAAGAAACCAAAATGGCTTACAGATAGAGCTCAGAGGGTTGTGGTTAGTGGTGCAGAGTCTAGTTGGAGGTTAGTAACAAGTGGTGTCCCTCAGGGGTCAGTACTGGGCCCAGTTTTGTTCAACGTATTCATCAATGATCTGGATGAAGGGATAGAGTGTACCATCAGCAAGTTTGCTGATGACACAAAACTGTGAGGAGTGGCTGACACGCCAGAAGGCTGTGCTGCCTTACAGCGTGACCTCGCCAGGCTGGAGAGTTGGGCAGAAAGAAACCTTATGAAGTTCAACAAGGGCAAGTGTAGGGTACTGTACCTGGGGAGGAATAACCCCATGCACCAGTACAGGTTGGGGGCTGACCTCCTGGAGAGCAGCTCTGTGGAGAGGGACCTGGGAGTCCTGGTGGACAACAGGATGACCATGAGCCAGCAATGTGCCCTGGCGGCCAAGAAGGCGAATGGCATCCTGGGGTGCATCAAGAAGAGCGTGGCCAGCAGGTCGAGGGAGGGGAAAGGCTGAGGGACTTGGGTCTCTTTAGTCTAGAGAAAAGAAGATTGAGGGGGGATCTTATTAATACTTACAAATACTTAATGGGAGGATGCCAGGGGGATGGGAGTAGTCTTTTTTCAGTGGCGCCCAGTGATAGGACGAGGGGTAATGGGCATAAACTTGAACATAGGAAGTTCCATCTTAACATGAGAAGGAACTTCTTTACTTTGAGGGTAGTGGAGCACTGGAACAGGCTGCCCAGAGAGGTGGTGGAGTCTCCCACTCTGGAGACATTCAAAACCCACCTGGACGCTGTCCTGTGTAACGTGCTGTAGGTGACCCTGCTCTGGCAGGGGGGTTGGACTAGATGATCTCCAGAGGTCCCTTCCAACCCTAACCATTCTGTGAATTCTGTGAAAATGAGGCTTATACTTACAAAGATGTCACTATGTTTCATTGATGTGCGTATAAATGTATAAGGCTTCATTTTGTAAGACACCTGAGATGGGCAGTTTTGCAGAAATGCACGTAGGTTCTTGGGGTGGGCCCTACCATTTTGATCCTGACGCTGTCTGGATAAATCATCTGAAGACATTAGATCAATGCAGTCTACCTTTCCTGTTGAAATGTGAGTGATACAGAGCTGAGGGAATAAAAAAGCAAAAGGACCCGCTGATAAACCACAATTGTTCTCTGTCCAGATCTGCTTGTTCGTAGCCAATTCAATTACAGATGAGTAATTTTTTCCCTGTTATTAACTATATTAAAAGCCATTTATATTGATTATAAATGAAGGATATGGAGGAATAAAGATCTGTTTCAATTTGGGAGTAAGGTACATTTGGAATTTAGTCTGTTAGAGCATCTGATGATGTGAATGGAAGCTTGTAAATGTTACTGTACTACTCAGTACTTTGGCCACGTCAAAAGCGTAAAGGACAGTAGTGTAATGTATCTACCTTTTGAGAGCGTGTTTTGGATGGATTCTGTGCAAGAGAAGTAATTGAATTGTAGATGATACAGATAGTTGCTGGTATTTTTCCAGGATGAACTGGTGAGGATTACAACAAATAAATAAAAAAAGGATCTAGCAGTTGAGAGAAACAGGCGATGGTGCCAGCTCTGTGGGACTCTCTGGAGCTGGAGTGTAGAACGCAGCGTTTAGTTCAAGGCCACTGTAGATGAACGCTCAATATGAAGAGCATGAATTTCTTTGAGTTTCAGGTTTTCCTATCTGATAAATAAGGATTTTGTCTAATTTTCTTAGACGTACTGAAAGGATTCATGAGTTCAATTGTTAGTAAAACATTGAGATTTTTTGCATGGAAGACTTTATAATGTAGAGTTAAACAAGTGCGTTTTTTGTGGGCTTTTTTTTTAGGTTTTGGTTGTTTTTTTGAATTCCCTTGTAGATTGAAAGTTGTGTGTTCTCTTATGTGCATATATATATATATGCATATTTTTACCAAGATACAGTCTTCCTTTTTGCTACTTAGAAAATCTGTTCCAAATGAAAGGCTCTTTACCTTTATTTTGACTATCCAGTTTTAGAAAAAAAAAAACAGTTACATTTTATAATTAAGTTAGCAACTTTCCTCCTCAACTAGAGGCTACTGTAAAGAAGAAGATGATGCAGTGATGAAAAGGGATTTGAGAATTTTGGCTCTTGACATTTTGGTTTTTTTGCAAAAACTTATGAGTCATTCCCAGACAAGCCAGCGTAACAAATGTAGTGAAGTCAAAAGCGACTTCTTTGTCTTCAGTGACACAGGCAGCTGCTCTGACCTGCATTTTTCAACACACGACAATGATATCAGAATATTTTAAGTTAGGAGAAGACTACTGCAGTACAGACAAATAGTTTTAAAAATATACCTCTTCTTGTAAACTAACTAACTTTTTATTCTAGCCAGTGGAAGTGAGGCATGACATTCAGTATCTGTTATGCTTTGTTTTATTACAGAGCAGAATGAGATGATTAATACTACGGATTATGTGAAAATTTTAATTACATAAAGCACCATAAAATTATTTCTTCTTTCTATTATGGGTATTGTATTGATATTGAACACATCCTTCAGAAAACTTTTCCCTCTCCCCTGTAACAGAAATTGTTTGGTCTTTTGTCCAAGGATGACTTTTCTACATTGTGGTCTGCATTTTTTTAAAATTAAATAAGGTCAGAGAATCAAAGTGCTTGATCACTGACAGGGGATCTGATGAAAAAATCAAATTTAAACCCTGCTGTAAGGCTAGATCAGCTATACTTTAACTGATTCTCAGTTCATCTACCCTTCCTAGGATAAATATGAGAAAGAAAAGAAATTGAATTCTGTACATTTTGTACATTGATTTCTGTTCAGGTGTAAAGCATAGATTTTTGATTTTCAGAGCCTTAAATAGTTTGGGCCTCATTATTTGTCATCACCCTTGTATTGTAACTGTTGCATCTAACATTTGGCAACTGTATTTTGAAATCTTGACTGAATTGATAACTGCTCATTTTTCTTAACAGTCTGAAAAGAAAATATGTATGGCTTGGCCTGACGATCATATGATCGTCCAGAGCTTGGCTGTCCTCTTGATACATCTGTGTGTCTTCATTTAAAGTGGTATTTCGACATAGGTTCACGAGTTATCTTTTGAAATATTTTCAATAGCAAACACAAAAGGCCTAACATCATCTGTCTTCCACTGCTTGTAGGTCTGAGTTGAGTACTGAGAGAAATTTTGTGGTCATACTTGACGTGCTATGTTTGTACAAAGCTAGTGCTTTGCCTGCCTTAGCACACGTATGGCAGAGAAATGGGCTGGGAGTTCTCAGTGGTATCATCCTCACCTGGCTTTTACTGTGAACTGGTTATTGCCAGAGGAATGGCAGTGGCATCTGCTCAAAAAACCTGTTGCTGTTTACAACGTGGCCTGTTAGGTTTGTGCCAGCCCTAGAGAGCCGGGCTGCTCAGGTGATCTGCCGTGCTGCCCTGGGCTGCGGGTAGATCTTGTGCAGGCTCTCCCTGAGGTGTCAGGTGAGATGTCGCTCGTAGGGAAAAGCCCGTACTTGGCATTCTTCCTGTATCCTAAGTGTCAGGGTGTTTCACAGAAATGACCCTGACATGCAGCTCACCTGATTTCTCAGCAGAGCTGAAAGCAGCGTGTTGCTTCCTGGTAAACAGACCTCAGGAAAACTACCTAGTAAAATCTGCCCTTTGAGATCTCCTTATGAGTGTTGAATCTACATTGCTGTTTTAAATGCTATAGCACCAAAGAAAAAGTGGCTATTTTTTTTTCATACTGATTATTGATATTATCTTAATCCTGCATTAAGATGTGTGCTTATGTCTACTGAAATTGTGAAATTTAGTGCAGGTTGGTAATGCCTGGCCTCAAAAATAACAGAATCCATTTAATGTTATGGTATATTGCTAGAATATTTTATTATTATATATGCTGTCTTCTAGTCCAGGTGTTGCCTGACTAGCAGAGGCAGTACTCTGAGATATTTTTATGGCACCATCCCTTGCGTATGACAAATGTGCTTGTTTCCAGAGCTGCTGTTTGTCTGCAGCTGGCAGAGCATCAGTACCCTGGCCAGCTGAGAGGAGAGGTTCAAACAAAGGAGACATTGTAGGAAGGAGACAGAGAGTGAATCTGGACAGCTCTTTCCTTGGAGAAGTTGGGAGCAACTGTAAGGGTGGTTTGTGCACCTCAGGTTCCTAAAGCAATTGCAGTAACAAACTGTGCTGAGACTGGAAAAGAACAGGCAGATTATTAATCCAGAGATTCTCGCTGTCTTTTTCACGGACTCATAGGCTTTCCTTGTTTGTTTTTTAAATAGTTTTGCCCATGTGAGTCAAAACTGAGGTTGCAGTAAAATGCAAACCATTACCTAGACCTTGTGATTTCCACTTACTGCTGTGTAGCTCTGTTCCTTAGCAGCGTCTCTCTGTCTTCTCCTTCTGTTTGCAGGGTCAAAGTCCAAGTATTTTATTGAGTTGTTTGAATTTAAACAGGAAAGAAAACCAGAAACAACAAAAAAAACCCACCCCAAACAATGGACAGCAAGAGCAGGATTCATGCGCACAAAGTCCTGTGCGTGTAAGAGACTTGTACCATTTTGTGGAGAGAGACTTGCACACAGGTCTTGTAGTGCACTCAAAAATACTTGCCAAGCACAGTAAAACTTCAGCAGTTCTGCCTTTCAGACTTCAGTCACCAGTGCTGCTGCTGTTCAACTGGGAGTTGGCAGACCGTCCTGGCACTGATCTGTTGATGAAAGTGGGAGATTGACAATATCATTGTCTATTTACTTGTCCTTGAAAATGCTGTAAATACTTTGTTACTGTGTAATGAAGTATGAATTATTGCAGTGAGGTTATTTGTAATATGAAATGAATCTCAGTACAGTTTAAAAACCACTGCTACATTATACTTCTCTGCAGGTTGTCAAGGCCGGAAACAAAGTTCATAGCTTTGGAAAGAGGGAACAAGCTATCAGGAGGAATCCCAATGTTCCTGTTATAGTAAGAGGCTGGCTACACAAACAGGTATGCATGTAATCATCTGTTTCTGCTCACATACTTCAATACAATCCTGAAGTAACAGTAAGTGCCTTCCAAGTAACTAAAAAAACCAGAAGTTTGAACATTGGTGATGCAGGGCAGTGTTGGGTACTCTCACAAGCCTCTGTAATGAGGGGCTTGTGCTCAGCAAGTGTGAAAACTAAGTTTTGTGTACAGGTTTGATTCAGACATGGAAACAATGATAAGTGCACATCTCCATCATGATTAAATGTTGAGGCTATAACTTTGTTGTCTAAATCTAGTTATTTTCCCTGTTTTATCCTGCTGGCTTGCTGCCATGCTGATCTCTGTCTCCTTCAGAACACACTATAAACCCAAGGTTGGCTGTCAAGGCCTTATTCCGTCTGCTTGCTGATGCCCTTATACCCACAGGAAAGGCTTAATTCCAACCCATATGACTTTTGTTCTCCAGAAGCAGGAGGGATAAAATGAAGGGACACAGGGACCCATTCACTGCATATTGCTGTCCCCATGACCAGTGTCCAAGCAAAGGCTGGATTATAGGATTCCATCCAACAAACAGAATTTTACAGCTGCTGCGTCTAGAACTCTTAAGCTGACAGAAGCAGATCCTTGAGTGCAAAAAGTAAATAAAGCTGTTTGTTGTATGAGAATACTTCCCTGCTTCTAATTTAGCAGTCAGTGTCAATCAGATTATCACCAGAGATCCAGCAGCTAGGTTTAGGGATGAGTAGGAGAAGGCTGAAATCTAAGGCTTACAAATTACGATTCTAAATATACAGGAAAGTGAAATTGCTGACAGCCATCCTCTTCCTCCTGCATGGAGAGCTATATTCTACTATCAACTCTGTTGGCATCCACTACCCAAGTTCGTTAGTTTTCAGGACAGAATCAGAACTCAGACACAGTATGTGTTGACAGCATTGTAGCATGAAAAAGGAAAGGGAAGAAAGTACTTGCATACTTAACATGACTGTAGAAAGAAGAAGGGAAATAATATATACAACCTTCCTCTAGCTATTTCCTTCAGTCCCCTTTCCTCTACTTTCAAGCACTTAAAGCCTGAAGCTGCTTTCTGTGCTGCTGGTCTCATCAGAGCCTACCTCAGCTGAATAAGTTGTACTTGCTTAGGTTACAGTCTGGCAATTTTACAAGCTTCTAAAATTAATTTCAGTGTAAATATTACTCATTTTGACAAGGTGATACATACAGAGATATTAAATTGCATTTTAGGCATGGGAAACATATGGGAGATTGAATGTAGAATTATAGGGCATCATTGTCTGAAATGTGAGGTCATACTTCACAGCTGTGTAGTGATTTTCATCTTAGTGTACAGGCCATCCTTGTTGGGTTTTGTGCTATCCAGATGCATGCTTTGTTTCTTTATTGCGGGATAAATCTGTCTAGATAATATATGCATTGGTTGTGTATAAGGTTAATCTAAATGCTGTTTGGGTGAGAGTTTAATTACTTAATGAATATTAGCAGTTTGAATATCCTACTTTAATTATTTTATAGCTGGATGTTTTGCCTCTTATCTTTCTTAGTACATAATATTTTGCTAAAATATAACCCACTTGTTTTTGCAATTAGTACCACATTTAGGTAAACTTCTGGTAAACTATTCACTGGTACAGCATGGTATGACAAGCTGTTAACTTTCCTTAAATGAAAAGCGGATCACATTTCTTGCATTGCAGGATAGCTCTGGAATGCGTTTATGGAAAAGACGATGGTTTGTGCTTGCTGATTATTGTTTGTTTTACTACAAAGGTGAGTAGATGCTAGCACTTTTGCATTGGTCTGTAACAGTTCACCTCTCCAAATCGCATTGCAAGCATAAACTAATTGAACTCTTCAGGTATAGTTAGGTATTCTGAGAACATGCACAGTGAAACAATTACTTATCCGTATGTCTTTAATGCGCAGCAAATTTCAGGCCAGAGTTGGGGAGTAAGGGGGTGCTGTACGATCTTTTGTCACATAACTTATCTTTGATATATGCCAAGGGTTATGTTGCAAAACATTTGGCAGCAATACCAGTTTAAGATTTATCCCATTTCTGGTCTGCGTTGTGTTACCTACTTGCTTGCACTTGGACAGCTGATTTTTTTGAGAATGCATTATGGCCAGATCAGGGCATTGATTCAGCTTTAATCCAAGGGACAATGTGAGAGTGAGACCTTCTGAATCCAGCATTTCTACTAAAAAAGGTTAGATGTGCTCTTAGCCTGAACTACGAATAACAGTATTACATAAGGTTATTTTGAAGTTTTGAATGTTATGTTGTGTGCTACAGTTTTTGGAAAGCATTGCAGAACATGAAACTCGAGTTCATATTTCTAGATGCTGCATTTCTGCTGCTGATCAATTTAGACCCAACAGTAATAGAGGTTTCCTAATTATAGCAATTAGCCTACATGTACAATGCTAAATGGAAGGTCCATCATGTTATGCAGCCTATCAGAGCTCATTTGTCACAATAAGCTTTATTCTCAAAAGGTAGTCTTCTGTCTGAACCTAAAAAAATAAAAAAAAAAAACTCAACAAAACCCGAAATCTTGTTTCTTTAAAACATTTTTCTCCATGTATTATTAGTGTTGAGTCATAAGAAAATTCAGATCAGAAGGAACTTCAGGAAGTGTCTAGTCTAACCCCTGGAGAAAGCAGGGTCAGGAAAGAAGTCCGGCCAGGTTGCTCAGGGCTTAATCCAGTCAGGCATTGAAAACCTCCAGGGATGGAGATGGCACAACCTCCCTGGTCAGCTTGTTTTGCTGCTGCTCTGTCCTCATGGGGAAAATTCTTTTCCTTATATCCAGTCTGAACTGCTCTTTTTTTCTACTTAATGCCCGTTGTCTGTGTCCGTAAAGGAGAATGTATTGTTACCCCACTGAAAACTGCAGTGAATTAGATTTTATTTTTTTTTTGTTCAACAGACAGCAGAGAAGAATCTGTTTTGGGTAGCATACCATTGCCTAGTTATGTAATATCTCCAGTTGGACCAGAAGATCGCATAAATCGCAAGTTTTCTTTTAAGGTACAGTTACAAAACTTATTAGCTAATCATGTTTTAAAGTGCTTATTTGGAAAAGATGCTGTTGTAATCAGAAACGTCATCTGCTTTCCTTTTTTTTTTTTAAGTAGACAGGTTTATTGACTGCCTGTTTAAATGTGACGTAGAACTGTTTTTACTGCTTATGAATTGACATTCATATGTCTGTTACTATGTAAGTGTCTTTAGAGCTTAATAATGTGTCTGTGAGTAAAGATCCTTTTTCTAATATTAGAATATTCTAATATTAGAAGTTAGTATTGATAAGTTGCTCCTGTACTGTTTACAAATTGAAAGAAAAGTTGTCAGTTTTTCTTTTGGTTTTGTTGTGTTCTTTTTTTAAATAAAATCAGCTTGATTCTCGCAGTTAGAAAATGGCAACACTAGCTTCTGATGTATAAATTCATCAGTTCAAGGGGGAAAAGAGTATCCCAATTTTTTTCTCCTTTTTGGGGGGGGGGAAGCGGGGGAGCAATAGTCATCCTAAGTGACATGGAGTTTTTTAAATGAAAAATACTCTTGTTTTGATTGTTTTTGTGTTTGGCTTTGTGTTTTTTCGGTTTTGTTTGTTTTTTTTTAATTTAATTACAGTTCTATTCTTTGTTATAAAGACCTATGAAAATAAAATACAACATGCATTCCTTCTTGACAGTGGAGAAACCTGACTCCAGTTGATTGTCTGAGTTGCAGCACTAAGACAAAGTTTAGAAACTTCAGTGTATGTTGCAGATTTAAATTCTACTGATACTTGGAGCAGAGCCTGTTTTTCTATCAAGCAAATGAGCTATGTACTTTAAAAAAATAAATCTAGAAATCAGGGTTTTATCATGTATGCTTTAGGAGATCTAGAAGGAAACTTTCTGTTTAAATCTTTTCTGTGCTGAAATTACGAAGGTGTGCTCGGCTTAGACTTTGTCTTGCATTTTGATTTTTGGGGTCTTTTAAATTTGTAGACTGCCTTTTGTTGCTTTGGGTTCTATTTTCACGCGGATAATGGTTTGAAATTTATTAAACAAATATTAACTTGGGAAATGTGTTGAAAAAAAGACCCAGTGCACTTTGCGGAAATGTTTGTTGTACTTTTTCAAATGCATTGAACGTGAGATAGCAGGGCAAGCTACAAAGGAACCTTTGTTTAAGAAAAACATTCCACTCCAATATTTAATGAGCGTAATTCATCAAGCCCTCCTCTTCTAGAGCCTTTTCCTAGGAAGAAGCACATACCGAAAGAGGAGGACCCAATGTACTTCTAGGCTTCTACTTCTCTTGAATAACTATTAGTGCAGACTGGGGAAGGAGATAAAGAAAGTAGCGATAGTATCTAGTTGATTTAAAATTAAAAAAAATAAATCTGCTTTCTATTTTATTGAAAGGATGTTTGTAAATGTTAATCGAATGTGTATCAGTGATAAGAGGAAAAAAAGCCCCTGTGTGTGTGCATATATATATACACACACACACATATGTGGTTTCCAAGTGGTATGTTCTATAGGCAAGCTCTCTAGTCACCACTGCCAAGTTATGCCTCTCCTTTCCTGCAGAGTAGAATCCATGGTTGTGATCATGGTTAAACATTTTCAGAAGCAATTGCAGACTTCCCCTGTTCCTTTTAGGGTATCATACCTGTATGAGCTCTACCAAGTCTTTAATTTGAGTCTTTTTCTGATCAGCATAAGCCAGTAACCTGACACTTTCAACACAGCATCATTACTAAAAAGTTCATACAGAAATAGGGAGTTGATAGCAAAAGAAACTTTATGCTAGAAATCTATATAAAAAATCCACAACACACATTTCATGTGTGTGTTTGTTGGGCCAGTCTTAACTCTGCTTTAGGTGTTTGGTGATTGACTGCAGACTTGATGCTGCAATTTTATTTTATTTAGAACCAACTCTTAGGGCAGTAGGAGGATTTTGTAAGATTCCCGTCGCATGGACCCCATCCAGCACTGATGTTCAATGGTCACGGAGTCGGCTGTGGGCGCACGACGGCAGGAGCATGGCCATACTGGCATTCCATCACTCACCAGCCATTACCTTTATCTAATCTCTTCAGTACACTTCGATACCCAGAGCATAGATGGACATTCTGTCTCACAATGTAGTGGACCCAGAAATAGAAAACATAAGCAGATTAAGGCCGAAATAAAGATAGAACTTTTTCACATTTAAGTCCTGAATGAGTGGGAGAATGTGCCATGTCACTTTTTACATTTGGCCTGTCATTTATTCAGATTGTTGTAAATCCTCTATTGTAACAGAGGTATTTGGTCTCCTTGTAAATGGCCGTTTTAAGTAACGATGAGTTTTTGAAGCTAGGGAAGCAGTCAAACTGCGAAAAATTTCAACACTTGGGTTCGTAAAACTAAAGGAAGGACATTTACTTAGCAAGTACATGGATGCTCTTTGCATTATGATTCAGTTAGAAGGAGGTTTCTAAAATATATGTTCACTAGAATATATGTTAAACCCTGCTAACTGTTAAAATATACACCATAGAAGTTCTCAAAATTCTTTTCCTTTCACCATCTCCTAAGGCCCAGCTGTAAGCTTTTGTGTCTCTTTGGGTGTTTAGCAACTAAAGGCCTGCAGAACTGCACACAGGCTGTTTAAATGTAATAAAAAAACCTACTTTGAAGTATAGTAGTATGTATGTTAAATTGTTTTGTTTAGAAAATCTGTTCTTAAGTATTTACCTTGGCGAATTTTTCACATTATTTATTTGTCCCAAGCAAAGTGCTGTGACTAGCTCTAAGCCACTGTCATTAAGCTTTGTGACACTCTTTTAGAACTTGGGATCCTTACTGCATGTTTAAGGCAGTAGCTAACATCTTAAAGATATTTAATTAATCTAATCACTATATTTTTAATACAATAATTTTTTGCTGACCCAAGCATGAGGGAGCACAAATCCAATGCATAGATTTTTAATGTGAATAAGTTTTCACAACGTTTATATATTGAGGGAAGTATTTCCTGTGATTAATAGAGAATTGACTCTACTTTTTAGTAATACAATGATTTTAAACATGAGTAGTATAAATTTATGAAGGTTATTATCACTGCAGTCTCTTTAGAAGCCTCATTATCCTCAATCATGAAAACTACTTTTAATTGGTCTTATATATGTTACAATATGTGAGAGAATACTGAATGTAAACTCATTTATGTGAATGTGACAGTAATACAAATTGAGAAACTTGGAAGGCCTACCAGCGTTTGCTGTAGAGAAAACAACAGAACTTAATGCAAAGACATGCAAGTATATGTTTGTATTAAGTGCATATCTTGCTATCAAATAAAGCAAATTCCTGTATTTTGTAGCTCTGATATTCCTGTAAGAGGTAGGAAGTAGCGTCGGAGATGCAAATTACTCTTTTTTGTTTTGATACCACTGTTTAAATTTTTTTCGGAGATACACCCTTTCAGCATGAGGCCAGGTCAAATCATTACTTCCAGAAGATGCTACTGCAGCTTGGTTTTAAACATCTTTTCGTTATTGACACTCTTAAGACCTACTAATTGAAGTATCTGTTTGTTGCTTAGACCTCCTGGGATCAAGGCAAGCTGCTTATCTGTTTCTTTGATCTCACTGGTTTTCCAAAAAAAAATTTGGCATAGTTTGTTCCTTTATGGATCATTGTTCCTTCCTTAGGCTCCCATATCACTTATAAAGCTTCTCTGGGTCTGGGGATTCAGGTGAAGAAATGCCAAGGGCTATAAATTTGAGAGGTACAATTTTAGGATTTGAAAAAGGGAAGCTTCTAGAAGTCCTGAAAAAGCCCAATATTGTTTGAGGGTGAAAGATGAGTTAGATTGTAGTGTGCTGTTGTTGTGTTTATAGTGAAGGATCAGAGTGTTGTTTCAATTTTTGCTCATAAATGTTTCATAACCATCAAACTTCAGAAGTGCAAATTTCCTGTATTTTGTAGCTTATTGAGAGGACTAACTTTAAAAGATTACAATTATTAGAAAACTGTTCCCCTCCCCATCCCTCTGTCCTGTGAACTGTGGCTTCTTTTCTCTCCTAGGAATTTTGAATTATTGGAGGTGAACATAACAGCTCTAGGCATTAGTTACTTTTAGTATAGCCTTTTGTTAAGTATTTTCTTTGGAAACATGAATCTTCATGATTTTAACTTGTTTAACTTTTTGTCCTTGTCTTGTCCTATTGATATGCCCTTGGGGTTTACTGTCCATTTCTCCTTCTGTGCATTATGGGAGAGAGACTGCTTTTCTTCTCAATCTATCCACATTAAGGCATCTGAATGCATGAATAGGTACCAATATTATTTTTTCCCCTGTTGTGTGTATGGTGTACGTGCGTGCATGTACTGTGTTTTAGGCTTTTTAGTATGCTGTAGTCATCCTAATAGCTATCGCTTAAAAAAAAAAGAAAAAAAAAGACCCACTAGCTTCTGTGTCTGCTAGCAGTGACAGCTACAGGACAGTGGCACAAAGTGGCTTTCTTGCATATAAAACATGCTACTAATGAATAACTGAAATGCGTTTGAATTTTGCTTTAACCAGTTTTATATATTACGAACTTCAGAATGTCGTGTTTGTTGATAATAACACACCATCTCCATTATCCCTTTTGAAGCTATGACTGTTTAGGGCTGTGATAGCTTCAGTCTCTCAAGGGAGAATGGCGCAACATACTTCGCATTTTTATACCGTTTTCACCTACAGCCTTTTAGGCAGTGCTTTCAGCTGTGTTTGTCATGCACCGCTGAAAAGAACCTGAAAGGCAAATGAGTTGTGTTGATCAGGACCTACAGGTAAATTAAGACAGATAGCTGTTAAATCCATTTATCGATGTGGTACGCAGTCTCCGCAGTTAGTTACCCAAGGTTCTGGATTTTTTTCAGCAAGTATATAACCATTAATGGTAAGGTCCTACTGTCTCATCTGCAACGGGGCATTTTCTGCAGGAGTCACAGCACTTCTGAATTCTAGCATCTTCTTCTATGGGCTCAGCGTGATCTATGAAGGAACCCTGTAGTCATAAGGTACAGCAATAAAATCACTGATTTCCTTTATATCCGGAGCGGCCGATTTTAGGTCTGTTCTTACACTGGATGCTAACCATAAGTTGCAATGAATTAAATGCTTCTAAATAATACTCGTTTTGACCATTTGTAATGGTTTCGGAATGGGGGAAAAACCCCGAAAACAAACAAGAAGACAGACCCCAGTAACAACCAAGAAAACTCAAACCCAAAGAACTCAGTCAGGCAAACACGAAAAAAATCCTTTGATTCCTAAATACGCAATTGAACAGAGCTACTGTTTCATGTATGTAAATCCTGTTTTCCTGTGGTAAGGTAGGCAGCTAATGGTGGGGAGGGAGAAGCCACCTTTTATTCCCTTATCGGCCAATGCTGTTGGGAAGAAGAGACTAGCAGGAGACAGTCTTGAACTTCTCTATGTCACCCTTTCCTCCTCTTCTTTGTCCTCGTCCTTTTTCGAGCTGGGTAGTGTGCTGCAGTCTCATCCTTTCCCGCACGGTGTGATGGCAGGCCGGGGACTGAACCCTGCGGAAACTCTGTGACCACAGTTTTCAAAACAAACTGAGCCTTCCTTGTGTGAGGCGCAGAAGGGAAAGGCCACGTTTCACGTGTTTCTAAGAACAGTCTGCAATAGAAAGGGAGGGAATTTTCCACAGAACATCAAGTGCTGTGATAGCAAGCAAGTATTTTGCTCCTTGGAGTTGTTGATATGAGTCTCTAAGATTATGGTAATTTGGGAAATTCAGGGGAAACAACTGAAATTACCCAATTTAGGGAGGGCTGCACCTGGGTTTTGTCAAAGCTATTGCTGTATTTCTGAAGTCATCTGTGATTGTAGAGGTGTTGTCTGTTTTTTTTTTTTTAATTTGGAATAATAAGGAGGAGAGGATTTAATCGAAATAAAAAGACCAGTCATTTAGGGAAGATTTGGGAAACATGTTTTAACTTTAAAAGACGATGTAGCCAAATTAAAAAGTTGAGATAGTTTTTTTTTTCCTTTTAAAAAGCACCTGTCTCAGCAGTGTTTCATGCCATTAGCTTTTGTGTGGTAGCAGGCTTAGTTTTATAAAAAGCAGTTAAAATTACTAATTTTGTTTTAATATCATTACAAGAGCTTTCAAGCCAAATATACTGTCTTCAGTTTTTTGGAAAGTAAGGAAATGAATCTCTCCCTCCTAATCTGAAGCACATCTGTAAAGTAACTTTGAGGAAATATAGTCAAGTGTTTCAGGACGGATATGATTTAGTAATATCTATACTATCACTTCTACAAATATGGATGGGATTTGACTAAATTCATTTAGCCTGGAGTTACAAAGACATTCCATATTGAATATATTTATAGAGGAATCTCCAAATACCTCTAGTTTGTAGTGGAATTTCATTGAGCATTTCGGTGTGCGGAGATACTTGTCAATATTTTATGTGCTGTGATAATTTCATCAGTATTACTAATTATCAGAAAGTCTTGTGATTTTGCAGCTAATATAGAGGTTCAAGTGCACGCTTTAACCAAAAGATCTTAACACACGTTATAATCAGTTCTGAAGTAACCAGTTTAATTGCTTGAATTGTAAGATTTTTGTCTGTGTTTTGCCTGAATAAATTGCTTCATTGAATGAGCTGGGAGAATTGGCTTGTTTACGCATGTCTCAGTGAGAATTTCTTTAATTTGTTTTGTATGGTATATATGGCAAATGAAATGTATCCGTTAAGAGAAAATGAAAAGCTGAAACTTCCTACTGTGAAAAACAGAAGCGCTGCACTTTTAGATTAATAGTGCAAGAAAGAGGTAGAGGAATTTCAGTAAAAATCAGAGAGTGCTATTTGAGTTTGCTACACTACAGCCTGTTATGGCAGTGTAATAATTTTACCCCAAATTCAAGAAAAAGTCAGGAAAGTTATTTGAAGATATCAGGAAAAGTTACAGTAAATTTTCTGGGGGAAAAAGTGAAAGGGCTGTCTGATTTTTATTTATTTTCTTTCTTTTTTTCTTCTTGCAGGCTGTTCATACAGGTATGCGGGCATATATTTATAATAAGAATTCTGTTATTGGCTCTCAGGCAGAGCATTCAGGGATGCGGACATACTACTTCAGTGCAGATACGCAAGAGGATATGAATGGCTGGATTCGGGCTATGAATCAAGCTGCTCTTATGCAAACACGCTCTTCACTGAAGAGGCAAGTTCAACACGCAAACTCCTAGCTTTTAATATATATGTGTGTACATATATAAATCAGTGATTTTTGAAAGTGGTATTTGCAAATGCGTGCATGAAACTCATTCCCTTTTTAAAGACATAATTCTTTTTAATTTACATTCTGTTGCAAATCAGTTAACGAACATTAATTAAGAAAACCTGGTATTCAGTGTTTGTGTCTACACACAATTTGTGTGCCCACATTTAGTGACATGGATTGATTTCCGTATATATAATTTTTTTAGGCATTTTCAGTTAAAAAGTTACAGTTTTTGTGAGCAAATTCATACATCTGCAACAGGCTATTGGCAGCCCTGAGGAGACATAAGGAAAAGGGAAAAGACAGAAGAGTAACAAGTTGTTTCAAATGAGTGTTTAGAACTAGGATTAAGATGCTGTTAAGAAGGAAAAGAATGTTAAAGATGGGTAAGTCATAAGTGCATAGAGTTATGGGTATTAACTAATTTATGCAGGCATTACCTGCTTATTTTTTTTACTTACTTTGGTGGCCTTTAGTATTTATAAGAGCTTTTTATGTTTTTCTCAGTGTAGAAAAAAAGCACTGTGACAAAAGGATGATGTCTTTTATCCCATTGTTCTTAATTAGTGCTAGAGGCAGATGAATTCAGGTGTGCCTTCATGTGCTTCCCGTTCTTCCCTTTTCTTAAAATTGGTGTAGCTTTCTTGATGTTTTGATTTTGGGAGTGTGATTCTTTCTCTACAACCCCTTGTGAAAGAAGACTCTGTACTGTGAGACAACCCTGCTTTTAACCCTCGGCATTGTGAGGATTAAAATGTCATGGTGCAGTTTCTCACTACTTCTTGCTTTTGGCAAATCAAATGTAAGCAAAGGATCAAGATCTCTTGAGAGCTTTGCATCCTATATGATTTTGTGTTAAGATATTCTAGATTTAAATTAAATTTCAAATAACATATAACCTGTTACCTGTTTGTTCTTTATAAGGATAGGAATAATTGAAAGAAAAATTGGGGAGGTCTGGCATGTCCTTCCTCCTAGTGGACTATGTGTTTTGAGACACTAAGTAGACTGAAGTGAAAACAGTTGTTTCATGGCACTTACTCAGAATTCACCTTCCATAAAGCTTTAAAGAAGCTGAACTTAGTTTCAGGGAAGATGAGGTGCTACTCTGAGATCAATTATACTTCATTAAATTGTAAGAGAAAAAAAAGTTGTCAAGAAGCTTAAACAAGGAGATGAAAATTGCAGATGAAGTATGTTATGTGTCAGAAGCAATATAAAACTTCTAGGATCCTTAGACATTTTATAGTGTATTGTAAGTTTAATATCAAGATTTCTGGTATGGAATTTTTGAAATATTTAAACAATAAGGTAAATAAGTAAATTATCGTGCATTGCAGTGTGTATTAGGAGCAATGGAAATTTTTTGGTTTTCGTTTTATTCTTTGCAGGAATAGCCCCCAGGTTAGAAATTCCCTGGACAAGGATAGTACTGACTCAAATGTAGATACTGTTCTGCCCTCTTGGCCAGAAATCACTAGGCCCTAAGGCATCTACAAAGATATGAAAGACTTTTTTGACTTTGAAATGAGCAGTTGGCAGTTGGGTTTAGTTTTTTGGCTTTCACTGTTTCCCAGGATATCAAGACTTTCTTTTTCACAGTCGTTTGTACGTAATATTGCACAAATTTTTCATACAATATTAGTTATTAGTACTTTCAGTCATTTTTACGGGTGCGTGTAAGTGATTTCTGCGTCCTTGATAGCCCTGTAAAGGTAACTTTTGTCTAACTGGGATAACAACTGAGTTTTGCTGCACGTATCCATCTTAACACACTTGGAGAAGCTGCTTTTGTGGGTATCCTGTCTAAAACAGTAACAAGACCACATCGACTTTTCACAATTAAGCAGTGTTCGTTACTGACATGTATTTTCTTTTCAGAGAAACTGAAAAAGTGGATCAGCAAGCTGTTCCCCAAGTCAATCATGTGGATGCCTGTAAAGAGTGTGTGAAGGCAGAAATTACAGATACAAAAGAAAGTTATCAAAAATCAGCTGAAATGCTTGGATATGATAAACGTGAAGAGATAAGAAGAGAAAAAGAGGATGAGGAGCGTTATATCCTCAGAAAAGAAACTCTGGAAACTAAGAAGGGAAAAGCTAAGCATGCGTTAACAGAAGCTGATTCATTATTTCCAGACTTAACAAACGCATCGCGGTCCCAAGTAGCTCAGCCTCAGCCAGCTGAGAAGAATGGAACGCTTCCTAGTTCATTAAGTATGAGTGCTGGCCTAGTGGAGCAGAATGGTACCGGCTCATATAAAAGAGGGTTTGTTCCTAGAACAAATCCAGATAAACAGATTCAAAGAAAAAGTAACATGGCTCAAGTGGAGCACTGGGTAAAAGTCCAAAAAGGAGACACAAAAAGGTTAGTAATAGGCCCATCTATAAATAGACTGCCAAATGGCATTTTCTTAAATTAGAGGAAAATATGCATTAGCAATATGTTTAGTGCAAATCAGAATGATGTTTTACAGAGCCAGTATATAACAAAACTTACTTTCTCTTCCAGTGCAGAATGGTATTTTTCAGGTGTTTATATCATGGGAAAGTCAATTTGGGATTGGCTAATCAAATCCCTTTAATGTTGTTGCTATATTGCAAATAGAAAAAGTGAGATTAGAGTGCAGGGATTTTTTTACTGTTTTTAATGACTGTGAATGCTTAAAACTTCTTAAAATTTGCTATAACTGAAGAGCCAGAAAGTGAAGTGCAGCCCTCAGTTACCTCTTATTCATAAACAACTACACAATATAAATTCTAGATAAATTGTTTGTTTTCCACTTGAAAGTAAAGAATGCTGACTTTTTTCTCCCTTCTGTTCCTGTTTCAAACTTCCATTCACTCCTCTATATCAGATGACTGCACTCAAAGTCACAGTGTGTGCATCACATATAGTAAGGTCTCTGTATATAACTTAGTTAATGAAGAGGTCCTAGGATGTTCCCATGGTCTCCAGGTTTCTCTTTTCCCTTTTAAGTCCCTGAAAGTTACATAAATTGTACCGAGAAGTAGAATGCATGCTGGAATGCTTTTGTAATTTGAAAATCTTGTAATTGGTTTACTTTCAAAGTGTGCAGTCAGATTAGGTATCAGTTGAAAAAAAAAAATGAAGTGATGTATATAAGCACCTGTTCAGAGTGTCACCTTGGGTCAATTGGCAGGAAAGGCACTTGGGCTCTATGCTGCATGTGAGGATATTTTCAAATGTGGGAACCCTACTGAATTAGTACCTTAAAAATTTGCTAAAATCTAATTATAATATAGAACAACAGGAGACATTAGCATGTGGTTCTTAAGAGGAGGAAAACATTTTTGCCATTTTTTTTTAATGTTTATTGAAGCTAACATTTGTCATTTTGGATCCAGTAAGAAATCTAAGGCTTACTAAATCTGTGTGGAGGTCTGTTCTTCTAATCTTTCATCTTTGGAGTTACCCTTAAAGAAGCTTTCATACTTTTGGATTTTATTTAATGCTCTTATAGACCGTTAGAGTCAGTTTGCTTGCATCTTTTTTGCTTGGATATCAATCAGTGCTTCCTGAAAGAATACGACTTTAAAGAAAAAAAAGTACTTGGTATGTTAGTTCTTCTTACACAGATTTATTAGTCTAAAAAAATACAGAAAACTATTGAACTAATTAGCCAGTGCTTAAGAAAACTTCTGTTGATGTTTTTCACATCAATAGTATATCGCTTGACTTATAACTAAATAAATACTATTTTCTCACTAATTACTCTTTCCAGTAAATCAGCTTCAGGTGTGTCACAGGTCTAGTGCTAAGATAGTGCTGTTGCAAGTGCCAGCATTTGTTCTAGATAAAACCAGCTACCTTAGCTGGAGCTGTTAACTATTCAGTGAAACTTCACAAGAGTTAACTGCAGTGATGTAACCAAAATTTAACTTTATATATATAGAAAGAGTAATTTTCTTCTTATCTTAAGAACTTTCTTTATGTTCTATTTTAGCTCACTTGACCTTGTTTTCTTTGTCTTTCACTGACAAATGCTGTTACATTCTCTGCATTCAGAATAAATTGCATGTTACCTTCCCAGAGATTAATGGATTGTTTTTTTTAAATGGCACCTTCTCTCAACCTGCTGAGGTTGTTACAGTGTGCTTAACTGATGGATTAAAGTGGCGTGTTAGTTGTCAAATATCTTCTTGATTTCAGGGTGTGGAAACTTCAGATAGAGATGATTGTTTGATTGAATTTTATTTTGATTTTAGTAAGTATGAGTGGACCATTTAATTTCTTAATGCTTCATGTTTACTGTTATTCCACCTGAAATGTTACAAATAAAGAACCTCTGAGGATTTAGAAGCCTGTATAATTTTTGAACACAGGATGAGTACAGTTTTATTTGTTTCCTGGCTCAGGTGTATAAAGATGCAATCCTTGCCAGCAAGTTGATTATGACAAGAACGAACTCTTTCAGTTTCTGAGTCTTCACACAAATAAAGCAGTTGTTTGTATAATTTTTTGCAGGGATTGCACCTTTTATTATAGATATTTAGATCTTTCAAATGGAGATTTTACTTCCCCCTTTTATAAAGCACTCAAAGCTGTTTGCGAACTTGTAAGCATTAGCTGTTGCTTTGGAGATTCATCTCTCTCAGACAGTGACCTGCTAGCTGCACTACAGTTATGTCCAATGTAGTCATCTAACCCCCCTCTGTTCTCAGCAAAGGGGAATACCTGCTTTAGAAAGGATCATGCCAGCCTTTGAGAGAGAACTAGAGAACTGGAAGGAGGTTTGAAAGGAGACTTTCAGGAGATTTTGATTTTAAGTAATTGAAGGTCAGGACCATCAAACATCAGCTGTCCAGAAGTTATTGGACTTTGATCTGATTCCAGTGCTTGGATAGACATAGGGAGTGCATAGTTGTAAAGAATCTGCTATTTCTAACAGTTTATTTGCACTTAAAAAGATATATAAATCTGATAAATGTAAGCTTAGTATTTTCCAACTAAATGCAGTCGTATTGAAGAATTTTCTTCCTTCAAATACAGTGTTAAACATTTCTTGTTATGGAGAACTTTCCATTTCTTCCTGATTTGCTTAAGGAAGAAAAATTACTTGTCTTTGTTAGCTTCTCTGCATTCCCATGAATAGGCATAGTGTTTCCAATAATTCTATTTGTTTTCTTCTGAGCATTTGTCTTCTCTTTTTACAGTATCTTCTGTGTGGTTGCTTCCCATTGCAGACCCTGAATGGTTTTCATGGCCAATAATCATATAATATGGCATCAGGCCATTTTTTTCACTCTTCAATGTCTGCTTTCCTTTTTATATTCTTTCTACCTCATCGTTCAAGAGAGAGAGATTCTCAAGAGCAGCTGCTTTTCCTCATTTTCACTCATGAACCCTGAGAAAGCAATTGTCCACAGTTCATTGTGGACTAATTTGAGTCATTCCGGACATTATTCCTTTCCTGTTACAGAAATTGGTATGTCATCTTAGGTGCCCATTTTTATATAAAGAAGGGTCTGAAACTTTGAAATCTTGTGTGATAGAGATGCCACCTGCTTAAAGCCTGTCATCTTAGCTGGAGCTTTCTCCATACTTCCGGGCAACCTGCCCAGACATAGGCAGTTGCCTTCCCAGTGCAATGTAATGCACGTGCATCTTTATTCTTTTTTCTAGCAGGCTGAAGTATTGCATGAAGCCAGCACTTCCCAGCTACTCGAAGTGCTGCTTTCATCCAAAGAGTTCTTAGTTCCTCTCAGTCAAATGCATCCTCTACTGGAAGAAAGGTGTGATTTCCACCACTCCCATACACACCCCCCCAAGTCTCATGGGGTCTTTGTTTTCAGACTGCTTTTGCTTCTAAAGCTGCTAGCCCTGATGAATTTATTGGCCACCAGAAAGCCCTGTTTATTTTGATACCTTATGCATTTATGTCCAATTGGAAGATAACCACACACAGATGGTTTGCATCATTCAATAGTTTGCTGATGCCTTCATAAGGGCTCCACTAAGTTGGAGTATAGGAATGGTCAAGCCCCCTTCCCCCTTTTTTTTTTTTTACAGAGAAATCACCAAAAGGATCTGCCCCAGCTTCAGGCCTATCTGAGATGTCCTTTCAAAGCATTACCTGCTCCAAGTTTTCTCAGTTCTCATTCCTATCTAGAGAAAACACGTTTCTACCAACTGCTTTGATTTTCATGTGGAAGGAGTTGGCAGTACAGTACAGAACATACAGAGTAGATATGCTGTAATGAGCTAGACAAATAAAAAAGGTTACTTGACCACTAAATACTGATCTTTGAGTTGCCTTTGTTCATACTACCTGCCTGCTTTAACCTTTATTGTGAAATTCGAGGTAACATCAAGGTTCTGTGTTATGCGAGAGCAGAGCTTTTACAAATTTGTAATCCTCCACGCAGCACAGGGTAGTCATTTGGCTTTCTGGCATGAAGAATAATGTATCCTCTCAAGAGCGTCCATATTTCATGACAGTCCAACAGGGCCAGATCCTTCAAGTACAAATACATGGAGGCAACTACGGAGAAGCAGTTACTGGTAGCAATTCTTTTCCCCCTGCTTCTGTTATTCTTGGATGCTGAACAAAGATGTTCCTTGCCATCCTACACTTTCTTTCATGTGGAATTCCTGCAGATCCCACACCATCAGGTCTCCCTCTCATGCAGAGAGTGGAGCCTGTGGAGTGGAGTGATGAATGTGTGCTGAGTTTCTTCATTTGTGGGTTTTTTGTTGGATTTTTTTTTTTTTTTGTCTTGTTGCTCTGTAGCAAGTCTAGCAAAATGGTTTTCTGTTTGGAGATCCTGAAACAACAGGCAAATGACTGCAAGCACAAAACCCCCAGATCTTTAATTGGAGAATCAGAAATTAGACAGGCAGGTTCTTATGCATGAGGATACGGAAAGATGTTGACTTCAGTGTAGGAGAGGGAGCTAACTACACTTTGTCAAAGCTTTTGCCAATTCTGTCTAACTCTCTTTCTACTAAAAGATTTCATTTCTACAGTGCAAGTATATTATGGAGGTAGTACTAAAGCCAGGATGTAATTCCTCTTTTTATCTTCTAGTTTGTCAGTGAGTTTTGTTACTTAAAACGATAGAACCAGTAGCATTAGATTAGATGAAAGTAAATCATACAGACCTGGGGACTTTGAGCAGTTTCTTACCCTTTTTTTTTTGTTTGTTTTTTTCATTCACATGAACAAAAATTATCTGACATACTCATTCTGTGGTTCGTGAGATTTCTTCTTGCACTTTAAGGCAATTTTTTAGAGCATGTATTTGTTGTTCGTAAACCGCACCACCTAGTGGTGAGCAGGCTTTCGGTGAAAAGAAGTATTTTGATTTACGGATTTGCTCTTTAAATGTAATAATTCCTTTCTTCATGTTCTTTACATTCTTTTTGGTGTAAGTACATAACGCTGCTGTCCCTTAAGTTTACTTCTAGTATTTCATCCTAGGTTAGATGCTAAATTAAAAGCCTGTATTTATACTATTTGTATTTTTGCTTGAATACAGTGTAATATTTTTGTGCAACGTAGATTTCATTAATATTATTTTGTTAATGTTTCTGTAAATTCTTTTAAACTGACTCTTGTATGTTGTGTCTTGTAGCTGCTATGCTGTCATTAGAGATTTATTTTTTTTTTATCAGCCAGTCCCACTCATCAATGTATGCTAAAATTACCCTTTCTTTTCCCCCTCCTTTACAGCCTCACTTCTGATCAGACTCTTACACGTCAGGGTCCCAATCCACCTTTTCCTGAAAACTATCACACTTTGCCAAAGAATACCAGGCAGCCTTCAGGGAGCTCACCACCACCACCAAACCGCAATTTGCCGAGTGACTACAAATATGCACAAGACCGTGTTAGCCACTTGAAGATGTCCCAGGAGGAAAGGAAAGCGAATAAGGATGGAACTGTTTGGCAGCTATATGAGTGGCAGCAGAGACAGCAATTTAAACATGGCAGCCCTACTGCCCCACTTTATGTAAGTTCTTCAGACTTTATTGATCGTGGTAAGTCAAAAAGTTCATTAGATGTTCCACGATCAATATCTGTTCCACCCTCTCCATCTGATATTCCTCCTCCTGGACCTCCAAAAAACTTTCCCCCAAGGAGACCACATACTCCTGCAGAAAGGCTTACAGTTAAACCATCTGATGAGAGACAGACTGTAGACGTTCCTTTTGCTGGATCACCCAGGAAGATAAGAAATCACGCTGTAAAGGTTTGTATACAGTGTTACTGATTTCAAACTATTCTACAAGTGGTGTCATATATTGATAATTTAATTTAGTCATTTTCACTGCATCCTTCCTTGTGTATGAAGGATCGTGCAAGTTGTAAAATTAATACGATGAATAATTTTTTTCCTAAAACTCTTATCTTTCTGATCATTTCAGATTTGTTATTTTTTGTTGGTCAGGAAAGGAAAATTGGTGGCACATCACAGTGGTTTGGAATATTTTTATTCAAAAACTGGAAGACATGTTTATATGTATAAAATATACAAATTGTAGTATTTTAGTGTATAGAGTAGGTAGGCAAGAATATAAAACTCATCAGGATGAACTTTTCCTTGTTTGTTTACTTATGCTTGTAGTCTTCAGTGTTTGCTCTGTCTGCTTTCTCTACATGTTTTGCTATTGCAGTTAGTCTTACAACTGATTAAGTTTTTCATTATGGCTAAAACCATAATAATTTTTCATGCATTTGGTAGTTTTAAGCCCTTTGCAGAGTCATTATCATTGGGCTAACCACAATCAAATAGTATTGGTCTGAAACTTTAACCTTCTGCAGAATTTCAGTGTGTTCTTTTTGTAAGTAGTGTTGTACCCTCTTATCCAGAGGAGACAGAAGTTTTCTTACTTGGTTCTCCACATGGCTCCCCTTGCCCAAGGGAATTAGGGAAATTCAGGATTGAATCAGTGTAGAACGTGCTTGTCTTAGTAGCTCTCACACTGGAATAAGTAGAAATGAAAGCCTCTGAATTCGTCTAATACTTTGACCTCAACCATACGCTCTGACGGGGAAAGTATTCACAAAGAAAGAGATTTGTAAATTCAGATACCCGGTGTGGGTTCAGGACCATGACTTTAGGTTGCATGCCACCTTCATGCACAGTTTAGATTTTTTCCTAGTGTATATGCAGTGTAGCTGTCGGATGTCTTTCAGCATTTATAGTTGTATAATATTCTGTAAGAGGATGAAATAGTCTAGTGATGTACAGCACTGCAAATTAATATTTTTTTAACTCCCGATTATATTATACCAGGCATTGATTTCTTCATGTGTAAGTTGAAGGTGCATTGCATCCCTTACGAAGGAATGTATAGCTGTCTTTTCCGTTCCTGAGCAATGTAGCTGCATAAATTTTACTCATAAAATAAAACTCTTTTTATGTCATATTGGTTTTACGACTATAGGAAGACACAGTTTTCCTCATCTGTAAAATTTTTCTGTGAAACTTCAGTAGAAGTTTCTAGAGAAAAATGCTTATGTTTTTATTATGTAAGTACACAGCATCATTTTACATTTAACTGTATACATCTACAGAGATCTGTGATACTCCCCCCTCCTTGGAATGCTTTATTAAATTCCATCCACTTACACTTAAAAAAGAAATAATAGGCAGAACAAAACAGCATTCAGTGAAATTCAGAGACAGGAATAAAAATAAATCATGAGACATTTAGTCTGCCTTGAAGCAAGCCATAGAAGTTTGGCATTAATAGAAAGGTGAAAGAATGGATGTGCGGTAGGTTTTCATATTAGAAGCAGAAAGGGGCAAATCAAATATGATTATTTAAAAAAAAAGGTATTAATGGAACCCATTGCCACAAGGTGTCACTCATGTCAGTAGCTTAGTGTTCCCTGGCTAAAAGAGGGCATTCACAGTTGTTGCTGTATGGAGTACAAGCCTGCTGTTGGAGGGCATAATCCAACCAGCCTTTCTTTGGGAGACATTAGGTGAGGGGGAAACTTAGGAATATATTTTTTTTTAATTTGCTGGAAGCCACTCTGCGTGTTCTGTTGAAGCATCTTGCGCTGCCAGTATCCCCTGATCTGCCCAGCATCGCAGGTGCTAAATTTGCGTTTGTTCATTCGTAAGTTTTACTTAATCATCAAAGGATCTGGCTGGCCCATGAATGTTACCCTGATCTAAGCATGCCATGAATTCAAATACAAAATTTGTGGGAGAGGTGCGTATCTCCTGAATTTTCCCTGAAGTACCACATACCTCTCACTTGTGAGGATCCTTACAATTCTGACTGTGGCTTCTTACAGAGCTCAACTCACATTGATCGACGCTCTATGCCTGCTATGGGCTACATGACACATACTGTGAGCGCACCCAGTTTGCATGGCAAGTCGGTAAGTTGAGAGAGCAGTTACTTTTCCTTTTGTATCATCATAGTATTGTGGTTAAGTTTTAAAATCCTGCTCATTCCATAGTAGTTATATTTTTATTACTTAAAATATAAATAACTTGAATGAGAACTTAATTTTAACCAGCTCCCAGTAAAGCCTGTAGGAATTCTGCTGTTATCTGCAATGTGAACAGGGATGAGCTGTCTGTTATTATAGGATTCAACTTTTATTATGTTTATTTGACCAAATGCAGAGTTAATGAAATAATTGCTTAATCATGTCAAGTAACTGCTGTCTGGGCACTGAGGTGAAAAATATAATTACAGTTACTCTCCCTGAAGACTGCTAATTTCCTCTTTACAATGTGTCTAAATACCTGCAGCCTGAAGAGCTAACATTGCTTCTCATTCGATTAAGGAGACATCAGGCTAAGTTGGCTAGTATACGAAATTACACAATCGCACAATTACTGCAGCACTTGCCAACTAATTCCACCTATCAGGTCAGCTGCTGCTTGGCTCATCTGTGCTGTATGGCATTTTGTGACTCTGCAAATGCTTCATTAGTGGCATGCTTGAGTCTGTGCTTTCTTGCCCATTCTTTGGTATTCGACAATTCCCAGATCGTTTGCGGTTTTTTCTTTGCTACTGCATTTGCTATAAAGGATGAGTGTTTTAAGTTATAGATCAGCAGTTGTGTGTGATTCAAAGTGTTATGTATACTTCCTTCTTATACTATTTCTGAAAATGCTGCATCTTCAGAAATGTGGGTTAAAATATTAGATCAGTTAATTCTAAAGCAAAACCATTTCTTTGTGCTGCTTTCATGATGGGATTGGCTCCCTGTGCCACATGCTGTGTCACCTGCAAATTGAAATGCATCAGCCAGTTTGTACATTCATGTGAGCTTGTAACTGTGCCGGTTCTGCAGGTGAATGTTGGTTCATCAAAGCTCATGGGCATCTTGGATCATCAACAGTGCTCCTGATTGCACCGGTGTATGAAACTTATAAATGTGAGATCAAACAGAAATGTACTTATAGAGCTCTTTGGTTCCTATTAGAGCCTCAAAAATGGTGCTGTCCGGTAATAAAATGTGGTGACTTTTCTTGGAATTGGTGAAGGCTTTTTATTGGCCCAAAACTAAAGGTTTTTTTTTGAGCTTGGAAAAGTTTCGTTTCCCAACTTACCTCACCTACAGAACAATTGCACTAAGATGGGCATTAGTAACAAGGATTTCTCAAAAAATGGGCAGACTTTCTAGTCAAGTCCTCAGCCAGACTTACAAGCTGATCAGACAAGAATTGTACGTGAACACCTCTAAAGAAATCCAAGAATGATGTATTGATTTTATGGCATAAATGATTTTTCTTCTCTTTTTTAACTACACGTTCACATTGGCTCAAAACTTGAAAAAAGGTATAGCTGTGTTTTTCTTTTATTCTGAAGTTTAATGTACCCAGGATATAAAATCTGGTCAAAATAGTAGTAAAAAATCTTAGGAATTTGGGGGCATTTTGGCTGATTACAAAGCACATTTGCAACACCTAAGCTTTATTTTATTGCGTATTGCAAATGCCTCTCTTGAAAAAAGGAGAAACTTTGTTATGACTTCTGTGCATGCTTTTCTTGAAGCAACTGTGATGAAGATTTTGCTAGGTGAATGTAACTGTAAAAATTAAGCTGATGGCAATTACAGGTGAGCCAATGAAAAATAAGATTAAGTTGATGTCTATTACTTAAGAGGCAAAATGGATTCTCTAATCATATGTGAGATCTTTTTCAGTATTTTGTTCACAAAACTTACTTCGTACTTTTCCTGAATAAAGCAATCCATATCTTAAAATGTGTATGAAATGTGATCAAAAGTATATAATGGCTTCTAGTTACGTCTGACATTGTTAGGTACAGGTCTTTTCTTCTTCTCCCAAAAGGACGTATTATGCTGGAGGACAACACCATAACATTTTCTGTGAAGTGATAGCCAGTAGAAATTGGTCTTGAAAAAATAACTTTTGAAAACTTCTTGTTTCAGGTAGTCACATGTCTCTTTAGAGGTGGAAAACTCAAATCTATATGGTTGGAGGGTGGGCATGAGGTAGTAATATTCTTGGGAAATATTTTGCCCATTTTTCAACTGTAAATGGCAATATGCTGGTGGAACAAACGTGCTTCTTAATATACTTCCTACTGTGTTATTTTGTCTCCCCTTTCATCCATTTTCTTACATATAACCAATCCGAATATTTTGAAATTGTTTCAAACATTCAAATACATTGCATTTTTTCCCCTTCTATGTATTTATCTGAAGGCGGATGACACTTATATCCAGCTGAAAAAGGATTTGGAGTATTTGGATCTAAAGGTAAGATTTAGTAGGAGTCTAATTCCATTACTTTTTTTTTAACCCAGTACTCTTTTGTGTATTATCTTTGTACCTGCAGGTTTTCAAATCACCTTCTGTGCAGTGATGGAAACTCGGTGTCTTTTGCTCCCACTGTTGTGCTTAGAATATTGAGTGTCTTTATAGTAGTGACTATACAATTAAAGTGCAAACTCAGAATTCTGATGTAGTTGCTTCAGTTTGTAGGAAGAACTTGTGTTACTGGTATTCCAGATGAATGGTATTATGTGGGTTTAGTGAAATGAGATAAAAAACTGATTCAAAATGTTTGTCTGCTGTAGCATTAGAACCAATGTGAAATCAACATCTCTAAGTTAAAATAAGGTGTTCTTTTAATCCAGCTTTTTCCCTTTAAATCTAGAGCTGACTTTTTCCTTGTTTTTATAATGTGCCATGTTTCTAAGGTCTTGCTTCCTAGTGAAAATGTGGTGATTAATTAACACCTGTCATTGTTTTCATACTATTACAGCTAAGAGATTTCAAATGCACCCATTCATCCATCCATCCATAGATATAATCTGCCCAAATAACGTTACCTGATATTTCCTTTAAAAATAGTGTTTTAAAAATATGATATTGAGCATCAAAGCATCTGTCTAAACTAAATTACTTCTGTATCTAGTACAACTGATAGTTGGCAATTTGAAAGCAAATCTGGACTTATTAATAAGAGGTTTTGAAGAAAAAAAAAAGCAACCCAGAAACATATCATCATTTTGCTTAGCAAAGCAGTCTACCGCTTTCTATGGTGTGTAGGATGACTCACCATATGTATGAATTATATGGTATTTCTAAAAATCAAAGTGGAGTGAAATTTGACACCATGTTATCCGTATTGTTTGCATGTTTGCTTATTGCAGGGGGGGTTCGACTAGATGAACTTTAAAGGTCCTTTCCAACCCAAACTATTCTATGATTCTACATAGTTCTCACTGATGCCATGGGGCATTGCATATGTGCAACTAATCAACTAACTGGACCTACTAGTATGTGTATTTGAATTTTATCTGATGTTTTAATGGATAAATATATAACCAAATCTATAAATGGAAAATATTAGTAGTACATCCTACGCATATGTATAGTGTTATATATATGTAAATATTTATCACATAGATTATGTGGTATATATAGTCTAAGTGATCAAATATGTAAACTGTTGTAATCATTAATATATGAATTTAAAATTGGTTGGACACATTTCACTTTAATCCTTGTTCTTGGTTTCTTCATGGCTTTGCCAAATGTAACTACATCCCAAGCCACTGGCTGAATCTTATGACAAATTTCACTTTGAAAGTCCTACAATTTGAGAAATTTTTAATAAACACAGTGTTTTGTCCATTATAAAATACAATTTTCACAGTTAAAAGTGGCCACAGTTTAAGCCGCTGAAAATATTATGTGCTTAGCCAAATTGTTAGGATGGATTTTTAACATTTTAGTGGATTCCATCCGCGTTGATTTGTTGCAGTCTAGGACATGAAGAGCTGTTAGGTCTCCCAGGAGCTCCCTGTGTGCCTTCCTGCAGCCTGCACAGCACCTGATGAAAGCAGCCAGAAAGAGAAATGTATGGGGGCTCTTGATCTTTCTGTGAAAAGAAACTTAATCATAGAATCGTAGAATGGTTTGGGTTGGAAGAGACATTTAAAGGTCATCTAGTCCAACCCCCCTGCAGTTAGCAGTGACATCTTCAACTAGGTCAGGTTGCTGAAAGCCCCATCCACCCTGACTTTGAATGTTTCCAGGGATGGGTGATCTGCCACCCCTCTGGGCAACCTGGTCCAGGGTTTCACCATCCTTATCAGAAAAAATTTCTTCCTTATACCTAGCCTGAATCTACCCTCTCTCAGTTTAAAACTACTACCCCTTGTCCTATCACAACAGGCCCTGCTAAAAAGTCTGTCCCCATCTTTCTTGTAAGCCCCCTTTAAGTAGTGAAAGGCTGCTATAAGGTCTCCCTGGAGCCTTCTCTTCTCCAGGCTGAACAACCCCAACTCTCTCAGCCTGTCCTCAAAGGAGAGGTGTTCCAGCCCTCTGATCATCTTCGTGGCCTTCCTCTGGACCCGCTCCAAAAGGTCCATGTCTTTCCTGTGCTGAGGGCTCCAGAGCTGGATGTAGTGGGGTCTCACGAGAGTGGAGTAGAGGGGCAGAATCTAACCGCACTTCTTTTGATGCAGCTGACCACGCTTCTTGTGATGCAGCCCAGTATATGGCTGGCTTTCTGGGCTGCAAGTGCATATTGCCAGCTCATGTCCAGCTTTTCATCCACCAGGACCCCCAAGTCCTTCTCACCAGGGCTGCTCTCAATCCCTTCGATCCATGGCATTAGCATTAACATTAGTATTAGTTCCCTTTTGAAAATCTTGACAGCCAAAGTGTCAAATGTGTTTCCATAAGAATGATCTAATTTTTCAAAATTGGCATTTCTTAATAACCTTCTTTCAGTAGTGGTCCAGAAATGTAAAAAATCAGCTCAGGTTGCTTAAAGATTAAAGAGAGCATGTGGAATTTGAGAAGGTGTCATTGTGTTGGTTTAATTTGTGTTTTGTCACTAAATATGAATTACTGAAGAGATGCTTTGTTTTGCAGTATGAGGAAAAAAGCGTCGAGTGCTGAATGAAACTAAGCAAATTGCATATTGATTTGGTAGTGGTGGACTGTGGCAAATTCACAGCTAATATACGTGATAACTTTCATTTAAGACATTGAAGGCTTAGATAGAAAGCCTTTTATTTAATTCAAGTGTCTCTTTTGACTTTACCGGGCTTTGAGTTAGACCCACTCTGATTAAACTCTGATTTTCTAATAGGACTGAAGATTTTAGAACTGGACTTAAACTTTTTACTAAATCTGTTATTTCTGAATATCACTGTTCCTAGAGATTTTGAAGTATAACTTTTCAACGTGGAATAGTGATTAAGCAATTAACTACATAATGTGCCATAGTACTGAAACTGATTACAGAAACTGGTTGCACAGCATTTAGTAATTTGTCATTACTTACATGTTTTGTGGCCCCCTTGCTCTTATCCTTTTATTTTTTTATTATTTAAGAGTTTTAAAATGTTATCTATTGGTTAATACCAAGATTATATTGTTGAACGTTACAGTGTATTGTCATAATGTAAGTATAAATTAAATAAAAATACTCTAGAGATAGTAATCCATTTCAGTAGTTTTCTCCTGCATGTAAGCTAGTGCTGACAAAAAAAAAAAGTCTAAAGTCTGTTTACTCACACTATGAGAAACAATTATTGATAATTTTGAACTTGCCAAATACCATGCGTTGTGGAGGTTTCCTTTAATAATATAGCCTTCGATTATAAACTTCTTTTTCCCCCCTCTAAAAAAAATTGTTGCAATGACTCCATATTCTGTCTTCAATCATGAACTTGAGGTATGTGGAGCATGAAAGAAATGGTGTATCTGTATGCTATAGCATAACCATGCCTCTTCTGCAAACAGATTTCCGCAGTTGTGTTTGCGCAACTGTGGTTTTTTTATCTCTGAAGTGGATAAGACCCTGCATTAGAAAAGCAGAAAGGATAAGCAAAGGAAGGAAAAGCTCTATTTTCCCCGCAAGCTTCTAAGATGACTTTGCAAATAAGGTGAAACACTAAGTGGTGAAGGAAGCTTCCCTTTTTGTTGACTGTCAAATCAAGTTCAAGGAGGCTACAGGAGGGATGGATGGGCACCATCACTTCAATATAGTTAGAAGCATTCCCGAGCAGGTTATACAAAATACGAATGAGGAAGTACAGGGAAGTTTTTGTGTCACTAAGTATAAATTGTGCAACCAATTGAAGCAAATCTGGAGCCCTCTCAGTGGTTCAGCAATGGTCCTGCTTCATTCTTCTGCAGTCATGCTGTAGAATCTGAAGCTGTTTAGTTTCTGTGCCAGTTGAAAGAGGTTGCTAGTACAAGCTTGTGTCGCAGAGATAATGAAGGAATTTGGCAGAGATAATGAAGGAATACATGGCAGGTATTTGTTATGGGGGGAAGGGTAAGTGTGATTGAAATAACTTTTTTTTCACTGAGGTTTTAACTGGGTTGCTGAAATTATCAATAGAGGGCTATTGGTGCAAGCGTTACTTCATATTACATGACAGAAAGTATCTTGCTGTAATTGCCAACACTCTTGAAACTGCAACTGGCCGAATTCTATTTTGTGTTGTGTTTGTATGTGTGTTTTGCAAAAGTAAAAAAAGTCTTATGGTTGGATGAACAATCTACCTGCAATATAACAAGATAGGTAGATTATACAGGCTATAAACCTCAAGGATTGGTGTGACATAAGAGCATGTGATTACTGCTGCTCATGGAGTTTTGAGTTGTAAGGTTTGGGGGGGTTAATTTTTACATCTATAACAAGCTATTACTAAACTTTTGTTTGAAACAGATAGAAAATAATGGACCTCTGATCAACATGATATACAAAGTGCTAAAGAACTCAGCACAAGGGTTACTATCCAGTCTACATGTAAGACTGCTTGCATCTGAAATGTGCTCATCCCATTGCTTTTTAAAATAGCAGTCAATGTTTACATATTTTGGCTTTTACAGGTGCCTTATAGTAAACAGTAAAGCTTTCTGTAAGACTTTTTTTTTTCTTTCCTTTTTTTTTCCTCCCCCCCTCCCCTGCCCCGTTTTGAAGTCTGTATGCGAAATTATGGCTGACCTCAGTGTTTGGTTTCATTTTATCATGTTTTGAAAATGATTGTGTCCAGTAGTGGTTCCTATGTGTAATTTTGAAAATGTGAAAGCATGCTAAATCTTCATTATGTTCTCATGTTCATTGCTTGATAATTAACAAATTCTTTATGGTTCTGATTATGTAATTTACAATATCCCCCAAATCTGTAGATTCTGGGTTTTATGTTAATTCTATTGCTTTGAAAAAGGCTTTGGCATTCTCTTAGCTTGCAGGTAATTAAATATGCAAAATTATCACTTTGACATGCTCTTGTTTATGCTCATACTTAATTATTTGTTACTATTATACATAGGCTTTACCATTCTGTTAATACTTTTGAAAGAAAGGATTTTTCTTAAATAAAACATGTAATTGTTGAAAATGAAAATATCTGAAAATTGAAAGTTTTGAGAGGCAGTAAATGCTTTTGATTTTGGTGGTGGGGAAGTAACATTTCACCACATGAAAACATATGATAAGTCTTTGAATGGAGTCTGCCATTGGAGGAGAAAAGAGAATAAACAAGTGACGACCATAATCTTCTGTCTTAAACTTCCTTTGTTATTTGAAAATATTATGTGTAGACGGCTAACTTCATGTCACATGTTAAATGAGAAACTGAGATTGTGCCAAAGATTTATCTATACTTAGAGTAAAATTTAATTACTTGAAGAAAGCTAGCATGGTCCTCTATGTGCCTGTTATGTTAATAAGTAAATTGTGCAGCTTCAAGTCTGGAGATTGCCAGTCAGTCAGTAAAAAAGCAAACCACCTCTTCTACCCCACCAAAAAGCCAATGACTTCCACTCTTACATTAAAACTTCTGCTCTTATGTTATTGAAGACAATATTTAGGTGAATTTTTCTTCATAAACTTTTGCCTGTGTGTGAGTAGAAATATCTTGTATATGAGTATGATACACTAAGTGCTTCTTTGCTAAGATAGTATTTGCTTTAATGAATCTTTAAAAGTGTTCTAATCTAGTAATAACATGTCATTAGATTTTAAGGCTTTTAAAAACTGTATGATTAATGAACTGTATAATATTGTAACTTTCTTAACCTCATCTATTCACAAAAAGGGTCCCATGTAGACAGTGGAAATAATAAAGGTTTCTACAGAGATAGACATGCCTTCATTTAAAGATTGCTGCGAAGGCTGGAAGTATAATATAGTATAGGTTCTGTACTGATTTAAAAATTGCGTTCTGTGAGAAGGTAATCTTCTCACCAGAAATTGAATATGAAACCAGTGATTTATGGAATGAGAGATTCGGTATATTATAAACACGTCAAAATAGATTAATTACATTTAATTCCACTATAGCACTTTTATAGAAGTAGATCTTTAATAAAATTCAGCCTGTGCTATGGAAGAGACTATCCTTTGTAGAATGAAATAGTTACCAGAGAGTTGTATTTTTAGCCATTAATTAATGCTGTTATGCTTGCAGCTGTGCATTTAAAGGAACTATTCAAGTCCTTTAGTTTCAAGAAGACTATTAAAGCTGAACTGTTAGGTTTTGCAGGAACAGGACCTTTGTAACCATGGACAAGTGGGATTATGCTGTTCTGTGCAGAATTTTAAGTTACCATAAGAGTTATTAAATAGCCTAATATAACTAGTAATCCTTTCTGATAATATTTTTTAAAAACTAAAGCCGTATTTGAAAAGACTTGTATCCAAAATTGTATTCATCTTTGTTAATAACTCTGAATATTTAACAAAACTTTTCTTTTCATTGCTGAAGTATAATTAGGTTTTAGTTTGCAGCACATTTCTCAGATCTTTAAAACCTATTCCTCTTAGGTGACGGGGCGTGACACGTTAAAAGAACGCAGTACAAAACCTGTCAAGATTGCAGAAAGTGATATTGATGTAAGTATCAAGTACGACTTCAGAACATCTTGCATTGTTTTGGCTATGTATCTTGTACTGTTACATGTTCACATTGTTACGCTTTTTGGGGTAAAATACTTCTAGTGGAGACTTTTCTGCTTGGTTTTTAAAATCTAACATTATATACTTGTGAGTTCATTTTCAGGTGAAGCTAAGCATTTTCTGTGAGCAGGACAGAATTCTGCAGGACTTGGAGGACAAAATAAGAGCTCTTAAGGAAAATAAAGTGAGTAGATTAAAAAGAGTTTTATAAAATAAAATAACAACTTTCCTCTAATCATAAAATATGGAATTACAAACCAAAAATCAAATTACTGGATGATGCTTACATTGTAGTAGTTTTCTTTGGACATATATGTTAACTTAAGAAAAAGAATTGTTTTTTATGTTAGGATTGAGTGGCCACTTCTAGAAGACGTGTTTTTGAAAATTAATGTTTTAAACCCACATACACTTTATTTTCTGGCATTTATTACGAATTGGGGTACGTACACTTTCCTGTGAAGTTTTGCTTTATGTCTTAATATGTATATGGCGTGAGGCAGAGTCATGTTTCATTTGCAGTTCTTCCCACCTGCACAAACATTGTTCGCTTAAATAGCAGTGTGCTACATATTGAACTTTCACTGTAACTTCTGTGGTGGTTTGTTATTTCTGTTGTTATTTTTGTTTTGTTTGTTTGTTTTTTAAAAAAGGGGGAAGTGAGACAGATTCAGATTCATAGTAATTTCAGAAAGGGATGCTGGTTTGCGTATAGTGCTGTGAACTTAGTTCTGAGGGTTATGACTGAAATGCTGGAATATCTTCTGTGACGAGTACATAGTTGGAACCCACTTCCTTTCCTCCATGCCCATTCAAGTCAGAGTTCAAACAGTAAACAATAACAATGTTTTGCCTTTCCTTGTCTGTCCTTGCCTGTATATATCTTCGTCTGCTTCACTGCCTGTGAGCTATAGTTGTCAATAAATCGAGGTGGTTCAGAAAAAAACCTATTTACAAATGAAGGTACTGTCCAGATGGATCCTTCAGAACAGCTACTGTGCAAAAATGATTCACTGTTGTTTATTCCTGACGGAATGAATCAGGGCTACTTAGTGTTTTAGACAATGTTTTAATCCCTCACATGGCTATTTTAACTATAGCAGTGAATGAGAACCTATCCTTAAATAAAGAGCTAATGCTGTGCTGTGGTATGGCTGTCACAGTTTTGTACTGCTTAAGGGAATTTTTCTGAAACTAATTTATGGTTTTGTATAGACTGTAAATAGAAAAGTTTCCCTCTCACTCCTTTGTGTTTTCCACAGTTTTGGCTACTTAATGGAAAGACTTAAGGGAAAATAGCAGATAATTCTGGTTATAATAGTTAATTAAGGCTCTTGCACTTTTTCATTTACGTGTTAGCCTCCACAACAGGAGACCAATCCTAACCTCTAGTGGCTTATAGCAAGGACCGAGGCTGCGGAAAAGAACTTTTATTTTCCAGCAGGTAGATCTGTAAAATTCCATGTAAATGTTGTAAGCTTACCACCATTATCTTCTTTGTTAGGATCAGCTGGAGTCTGTTTTGGAGGTTTTACACAGGCAGATGGAACAGTACAAAGACCAACCACAACACGCAGAAAAAATTTCTTACCAGCAGAGACTTTTGCAAGAGGATCTCATACATATTCGGGCTGAAATATCCAAAGTTTCAACGGTACATGTTTCTGGTTGTTTCAAGAATGCCATAATTAAAATACCAGTTAGAGTAAAACTGTATTGGTCATTGGATAGGGGAGTTAAGTCCTATTCTGAACTGATATGGTTAATGTACAGAATACTAAACCAGATAAAAATTTAACAAGGTCTCCAATTTTCTTTTTCAACGCCCCTTCCCATCCCTCCCAGTCCCCAAAGCTCAAAAAACTATTTTGTACTTTTTTCATTATGTATGGGGCTTAAATTGCAAATCTTTCAGCTAGTCCTTTGTAAATATAAATGTGATTCTGTGATATTTTTCCAGGGGAAAAGGAATTGGAAATGTTTGATATTTTGGTCAAAATTTACTGTTGATACTATGATTTAATGAAATTCAAATGCAATTTAATGTTGCATTTTTATTAATATTCTAACAATTGACCATGAAAGAGAGTATAGAGCTCTTCAGAAGATTGTTTCTAGAGTTGTATGAACACCTTTCCTGTAGTAAGATCTGATCATTAAAATGCCAGTATTATTTAAATGTATACACAGTGTTTTGTGCCTGTAGAAAATGTATGACTTTCACAAGCAGCATTTAAAATTTAATCAGGGGCATAAACCACAAGTAATTGTTAGAATGGCTGTGCTGGTCCAGTCCAAGGCTCCTTCTAGCCCAAGGTTCTGGCTTCAGCAATGGGCATAAGCAGATGCTTAGGGAAGAGTAAGAATAGGAGAGGTGGGCAGTGTAGATCCTGTCATGACCAATCTGGCTTCTAACTATTTTCTGCTCAGAGAATTCCTGAGGCTGGTAGTTTTTTGGTCTATTTAGTAATCCTCAGTAGATCTCATTTCCAAGAACCTGTACTATCACCTATTGAATTCTGTGAACCTTTTGCATCCGAAACATCATTTGGCAAGGTATTGTGCAAATCTTTTCCCTGCTGTGTGGACAGCCATTTTCTTTTATTTGTTTTGAGCCTGAGTTGCACGCGTTTCATGTGATAGACTCTTGTTCTTGTATGAGAAAGGATGGGGAATGGTCAGTCATTATCCGCTCTCTCTATGCTGCTCATGGTTTCATGACTTCTTCCCCTCAAGTCCCAAGTGATCTCCTTTCTAGACTGCAGAGAAAAAGCCTACTTCATCATTCCTTACATAAAAATACTCCAGACGCTTGATTTTTCTCAGTTCTGGGTCAGAAGGCAGGCTATGGTGCCATGAATGGTGGAAATAATCTTAAGTAAAATAAGGGTGATTGGGTAGCCTTATTTTCCAGGTATCTGCTTCTTTATTCACTTTTACTGCCTTTACAACACAATCAGTAGAACTTTTAAAGAATAACCTGCTTTGTGTTTCAAAACATGAGTTCTGGTTTAGATTTAGATTGTTTTAAATTTTAATTATAAGCTTGTTTTAAATAGAGGAGTAAGGTAAAAGGAAATTGAATTGGAATAGACTTGATTCCTTCATAGCATATTAGTCATAGTTCAGATTCTATTAAATGCTGGTTTAATGCTTAAGAAATGGTATTGTGTGAGGAAGCTGGCCAGAATTTTTTAACTAGGGATTCTTGACTTGATCTTGCAAGCTATAAAGCATTTTGAAGTTTATCATCAACTCTAAGCAAAAAGGTAGACTACAAAATGGATTTTTTGCTTCTTTTTATAATACAACATCACCATCTTAAAAACACTTTGGTGCTCCATTAGAGAATGGATAGAGGGATTTTAAAGTGTATCATAATGTTGCATTAGAGTATTCCCTCTGTTAATAGGAGATGGAAAATGCCTGGAATGAATATCTGAAATTAGAAAAGGATGTGAACCAGCTGAAAAAAGCCTTACAGGAACAGATGAATAGTTCATTGGTATCTCAGGTGAGTCCACTTCCAGACACTCATTTACGTATGAGGTGATTTTGTCTGAACTTGAAAGCTATCGTCTCATAAGATAAACTCTCTGCAATTTTGGCCCTGTATTCAGCTGTCACGGAGCTTAGTTTGCAAACTTCAGACATTGTAACAGCAGAGCTGTGCAGTAACTAGCTATCTTGCAGCATGCGTAATGGTTTCTCATAAGTTGTCTATGCAAATTTGTCATTATTTTATTATGTTTTTATTACATGCTGACATCTTGACATTGATAATGTATTTAATTTATAAGACTATGCAGGACTTCTTAGTCTTCCATTTATTTGATCTGGCATTGTTGGCTTCTTTATCCATTTTTAAGAACATCAGTCACTAGCTTGTTATTGTCATTACTTGTTCTTTGTTGTGTTCTTCTATTTATGAAAGATTTATCTCTGCAGATTGTTTTGTGAAGTGGAATAAGTGTTTAACAGCCATCAGTAATTGAAAGGCATCTCCATTTTAAATCAATTATTCAGTTTTGAATCTTAAAAAGAAGCTTTGTTTGAAGCAAAGTTATTCTGTTTGCTGAACTGGATGTTGTGTAACAGATGATTTCTACATACCTGCTTACATCTGGTGATTTTATTCTTAGAGAAAGGAATACAGTCCGGATTATTTTTCCTGTGTTTAAGCAGAACAGTTTTATTTAAAAGACAAAACACAGGGAACAAAGCTAATGTATACATTTTGCTCAAATCTTAGCCTACTTTTCCAATTATCCTGGACCAAAATAAATTTTTAGATTTATTTATTTACCACAAATATCTGATCAGATATGAATTGAAGTCTATTTATTTTCACTGTTAATGGATAAGTGCTTTGTATCAAAGCAAAAGTTGTAAAACTTTTTTAGATTGTGTCAATCTTCAAAGTCCGTTTTCATTTACTTTTAATTTTGGGGGGTGGGGGAGTGGTTCAGTTTCTAGAGCCAGAATATTATGTAATTGAGCTCAGCTGTAGAATACATCCCCCTAAAAAATCACAGGAGTATTTTAGAATAAAATCATCCCTGTATGAAGTTATTTTGTTTAACAAAGAGAAGTGGCAGATTTAAACAAAATATACTTCGTTACCCAGTTGCGCATTGAGCATGCTTAAAATACTGGATATGATTTGGCAATACATATAGAAGGGAATGCAGTTCACACAGAAAAAATGTTAACTCAGTTTTAATATCATCTTATATCACATACATGCATAATTATAAAAAAATACACATGCACACACACACAAACTTATGCACATTATGTGTTTTGTGTGTGTATACTTACATATATATGCATTTATATATGTATGCATAGATATGTTTGTCTTTGACTAAGATTTAAAAAAAATGCTTCTGAGTACCTATTTTGGAGATACTAAGGGGAGCTGATTTTTTCAGAAAGTACTGAATGTTCTCAAACCTATATTCTTTCAAAGAAGTCTCACTTGAAGTACCTGTAATAGAGGGGTTTTTGATCTCTGCCCAAGGGTATGTAGATTCAAGATTGTTTACCTAGTGTTTTCCAGTAACACTAAATTAATACACACTGTGTTTAAAAAAAAAATAAAATAAATGCAGTCTTCATGGAATATTATTAAAAATTCAATAAATTTGCAGGCTCCAGTTGCTGTAGGAAACAGCTAATGTTGTTTCTATATAGCATTAATTAAGAGGTTAAAAGCTAAATGTTTCAAGCAGCTTGGTCAGAGTATGTCTTTCTTTAAGAGTGTAGCTTCATTGTCTTTTGTATAAGCGTTGGGGGGATCTGGACATGCTGAAATTAACTGAGATGTGGTATTTTGTCAGTGATAACTTTTTAGTTTATAAGTGTTTCTCCTCTCATTTTATAAATCATTCTAAATTATGTTTCTGTGTGAAAGAAGTCAGAGAAATTGATTTATCGCTCCAAGTTACCTTTTCATGCTTGCCCATAAAGTATATTTATACCCTTTTGTGAACAGCAATCTTGGCTTTCATAATTTAAAAATAAATTCATCTGTTTATCTTTTAGATCTAGTCCATTTTTGATCTAAAATAGTCTCTTCACATCAATATTTAAGTAATGGGAAGAAATAATATTAAAAGATCTTCTGGCTTTTGTACATTACTGATCGAACATTTTCTGAGTGGTTTCAGAGCAGGATTTTTTTGTACGTGTGGGGTTTTTTTAACCAGTTCTGAGGCTTGATTATTGTAAATCCATCATTCGGTTCCTTGTAGTATGATTAATCTCAGAAAAATGAAATGAAACGTGCAAATTTATAGTTTGTATCCTGACAATCTTTCAAGATACATCCCATCTATCGAGTGAGTTTACTACAAGCAAATAACATTCTCCATCATTTAAATGTTTGTGTTCTTGGCACCCTGTTTGCTGATCTATAACCTGGCTGAACATATTTTCTGATCTAAGACAGAAAGTGGAAAGCAATTTATACGCCTTCCTTAGCTCTGTGAGGTCTAAGAGCTTTTACTAAAGTTTTTCTCTTTCAGGCTTATAGGATTAATTAGTGGTTATTTTGCAGCTCATGGCAAGTGATGAATCTCTAGAGTTCTTGAGCAGTTTGTAAGCAATTCTTAACTAAAGCGTTTCAATGCCTTCTGCTTTCTTTAATAATATTGTTTTCCTCTTGATTTTGCCAAGTTTATTCTTAATGCCAATTTTTGAAGGCAGAATTACCAGGCTTTGATTAAGTAGATAACAATAGCTATTTATGATGATCGCAGTGAACATCTGACTGAAGTGATGGCTTCAGTAGATAAGACCTCTGGCTGCAAGCTACAGTCCAAACTGTAGACAAAGCTTTCCTTTCTTGCCTTCTGGAAAGACTCGGTAAAGCAAATAGGATGCAAGATGAGACCAAATCCTGGAACAGCAGCATTATATTGTTTCAACATAGAATACCTCGTGTCCAGTAGGCCGAACGACTCAAATATAAGCAGAAACTAAACTTGTCAGCCCTTCTGAGTTAGTTTTGGGTTTGTATTTCATCCATTAAAAGCTATTAGGAAGTTCACAGCAGTATTCAGGGAGACTATTCTTACTTTTTGCTTTTTTAATATTGGACATTTTCCCTAAATGTATTAAGCTGAGGTTTGTAAGGCTGCCTTAGCAGTCTTAAGTGGGTTAGTATAGGATTTAAGAAAAAAGTTCAAATGAAAAGGTTCTGTGAGCTCGGTTTATGTAGAACATTAAACTAGTTTTTTTGTAGCCTGAATGATATTGTAGAGAAAAATGTAGATGTGTCTAAAATTTCCCTAGTCTTCTATAGGAAGTCTTCCAAGACTCAGGAAATGCTCTAATAAATTTAATGAGCAAGATATGTTGGTTTGTGTTGGTGTGTTTTGTTTTGTTTTGTTTTTTATTTTTAAAGTAATTATTTAACTAATTTCTAGACTCCTAAGTTTCCATCTAAGTTCTGAAACATTAGTTTGGCTTTGGTATCAAAAGAAGGATAAGCCCATAATAAATTAAAAATTATATATAATTTATCTTTATTTTTTCTTTTACTACAAACATCAGGAGAAAACACAAATACAGAAAGACTTGTGGCGAATTGAAGATGTTACAGCTGGCTTGAGTGCAAATAAAACAAACTACAAAACTATAGTAGACTCTATCAAGAATCCAGGTAAGGAGAACATAATTAAAACAAAAAAATATATACAAATGCGCTGTATCTTTGGCTCTGTGCAAATAGTGTAGAAGTTTGATCTACTGAAAAAAAATCCAGTTAATTCTGCTATTGGTTGCATCAGAAATCTCTGTTGATTGAGCACTTTAACTTGGCGTTTCTTTGGTTGAGGTGGCAAAAAGGTCTTTTGTTCTTTGTTTTCACACACTGATGGCACTAAAATGTAACAAGCCATAAAAAGGGAACAATAATAATAATAATGATGGGATAAGTTCTGCAAGTTGCAGAGTTTCTGTCACATGCCAGGCTCGTACCAGTGTAGTATCTATTCTGCGTTCTGTGTAGGAACTTCTCTGTGTTCTCTGCTTTTTTTCCTTGGCTTCCCCCCCCCCCCCCCCCCCCCTTGGAAGCTGCCCAGCTGCCCTTGCTGCAGTTGCCTTCCCCATCCCTCTTCAGGCAGGTGTTTGGTGGGCAGAGCAACAACATCAGCTATGGAAAAGAGAAAGGGAAAGCGTGTGTGGTCTGCATTTCAGTTGCATTACTGTGTTTCAAAGAAAAGACCTAAGGCGCTGAGATAGCAAGAGACTGTTGATGCCTCCTGTAAATTCACTTTATGTCTAAAGTATCTTTGCTTACCTTTTACATCCAGAGATAAAACAGTTCTGAGATCGTGAGATCTTATTTTATTTAAAGTATGGCTATGAGTGCTTAGCCTTGTCTAGATCTATAGGCATCTTAAGGAATCTGTGGCACAGGGCCAGATACAGCCTATGAACTGATTTTGTATGACTCTTGGGCTTTTCCTTCCTTCCCTCCCACTTCCCTCTCCAAGGAATTTTACTGGATGATTAAAGTACGTGTTTTTATTTTGGGCCTGAAAGGTTTGCTTGATCCTCATCAAGACAATGTTTTCCACCCCTGCTATAATGTGACAATCAAACGTTTTTATGTCCAAAAAAAAACCTCGTTTGTGTTCAAAGCAATGTGCAGAGTCTGTTAATTGCTGTTCTTATGAACATTATTGATAAGAAACAACACCTAACACATTTGCATATTTCTTCCCTAGAGAGAAAAATAGTGCCTTCGTTTTCTCAATCTTCAGTGCCTTCCTTACCAGCTTCCCTCGCAACTGCAGACAGCAAACTTTCAGTTCCACAAAGCCCTCCACCCAGTCCGGTTAAATCCCCTCTGGAGGTTAGGCTGTACCCACAGCCTTATTTCCAGACCAGAACGCAGCACCAAGCACAGCAACTGAAAAAAATTGAGCCGCCTCTTCAGTCACCAGTTAAGCTAAAGCCAAAGGTTGTAAGTACTGCTCTTGTGAGAGTTCTTCACCAATGTTTCCATTTACTTCTGGCAGAAACAGTGAAAGTTTCATGGTTACAAAGTACACATAGCGTGGAGGCACAATGGGGAGACACTTAAAGTGTGTGTATTGAAACTGAGCAATAGCACTTACAGGAGAATATGTGTGCGTCACCTGGAGCTTTATGTACAGTCGCTATATACTGTTTTAGAACATACCAATGCAGAGCCTTCCTTGGCGATGCTTTGTGGTTGATCGGTTGTTTGCTTTCTTGGGTCTTGTTTTGTTTTTAAAGCCTCAAGCTCCTGCTGTGAACAGAGGAGAGCATGCTAAAGAACTCACAAATAACTCATACAATGTAATGAACTTTCAGTCAGTTTATGCCAGACTGTTTTAAGACTGTTTGCCAAATACTTGCACTTTCCTGTTACCAGGAAGATGAAGCACCACCCAGACCTCCTCTCCCTCAGTTGTACAGTCCTGATGATCAGCCACCAGCTGTTCCACCTCTCCCGAGAGAAGCCACTGTCATCAGACACACATCAGTACGGGGCCTGAAACGTCAGTCAGATGAGAGAAAGAGAGACAGGGAACTTGGACAGTATGTAAATGGAGATTATAGAGTGAGTACTCAAACACCTATACACCTGCACTTTAAAGATACATGATTCTCTAATAAAGGATACTGTCTGTAAAATATATGGACCTCTAGGCCTTGTAATAAAGAGAGAGAGCTAATGGCAGAGAGAGAGTAATGGCAGGGAGTGATCTATGCTGTGTAATAATGGTAGAGACAAATTTAGTAATTCAGAAACAAAGCTTTAGGATTTGTTTTAAGATTATTAAAACTTGCTGTCTGTGAGTTCATTTGAGCTGATGAGTGTTTTTCCATATAGGTGGAACTGCGTTCATACATGAGTGAACCAGAACTAGCAACGATAGGGGGTGACCTCAGCCAACCTTCCAGTGGTTTAATAAGTTCTGACAGTGGATACCAGACATTACCTACCCGTGGTGAGCCAGGAATTTATGTAGTTGATTTTTAACAGTACTGTCTGTATAGGAGCTTTCCTCTCCTAGGATTTTCTATTATTAGATTAACTATACAGTGCTGTGAAAGTCTAGAGATTTTGTGCTTTTTAATGGTGCTGTTACAGACAACCAGCCTTTTGCAAAGCAACTTAATATATAATTCTTAAAAAAAAAAAAAAAAAAAAAAAGCATACCATAACATTAAGGTACCTGTTAGAATGTTTCCTATATTCAGAGTTATTTTTCCTCATAATTTCTGTGTGATCTTTTACAAACTCAGGTATTTGTGAACACTTATATTTTCATTGAAATAATTATTTCAATGAGAAAGAAAAAAAATATCATGTCCCCAGACACTACATGTGACTCGATACTATATCCCCACTGTGCTACAGTCCTGAAACCATCTCACAAATGAGGGTAGAGAAGGTATTTGGGGAAGAGCAATTAATTTCTTAGCTATTCTCTTATTTCTTTCCTTTCTAACGGAATGTTAAGGATTCATTTTCTTCATAGATGTGATTATTTGTACAGCCTATCTACTGTTGTACAGCTGAGTTTACCCCATACTTCATTTAATATAAGCTTCTAAATTATTGTAGATCTTTCTGAATTTTGATCAATAGTGACCTGAAACACATTACGTTTCATTTCATGAGAAATTTCATGCTTCTCGTGATCTTCTGAACCGCAAAATGTGAAATGCGAGCTAAAAGAGTAGCCAGAATATCATAGAAAAAGCATGATAATTTAAAAAATATCTGATACTTGTCTTCATTTTCTCTGTCATTTGGTTTTAAAGCTTTTTCTTTTTCCGTATAAAGGTTTATCTGGATCAACTTCCAGATTGCACCAATCATATACCATTTCATCATATGCAACGCTTCGAAGGGATAGGTCCAAGGTAAGATTTAAGTGACCATCTGAAGACAAATGTCTGAACTGTTCAAAATAGTTAAGACAAGAATAAATTTTGCATAGCAGGAAGTAGGATTGTAGTAGCATGGGCGAGAACCCAACATCTGTGATCTAATAAAATCTCAAATTTTTCACTTTCTTAAATGAATCAGGAAGCAGAGAGACAACTTAGTGCATTTGAAACAGATTTATAAAACAAGCTTTAAAATCAAAAATCAGCAGGGCTAATAGAAAATGTAGAGTTGAAATATGCAAAATAATGCAAAAATAATAGAACAAAATCATGTTAACTTAGCAATAAGGTAGGAGAAAGAGTTAATTTTTTGTATGCTTCCTGCAAGGTATTAATTTCAACATGTGTTTTTTGTGCCTTGTGACGTCTACAGGAGAGACCAAAGAGTGCCTTGGAACGTTTATACTCTGGAGACCACCAAAGAGGCAAGATGAGTGCAGAGGAACAACTAGAAAGAATGAAGCGACATCAGAAGGCATTAGTTCGTGAACGCAAGAGAACTCTTAGCCAAGGAGAAAGGCAGTCTGTTTCATCTCGGTCTTTCATCAGGCCCATTTCTGCAGACGTAGGCTCAGTATGTTAGATATGCCTTAAAAGGACTAAACTAAAAATATCTCTGGATTTTTTTTCCTAGCAAGCACTTTCACTTGAGTATATGTGACACTTCTAGTTTAATTAAATGAGTGTTATACAGTATAAAATGAGATCAGAGAGTGTGAGTAACAGATGATGGGTTTTTTACTAGTAGTTACAGTATTTGTTGCAAGTTCAGCCAGCAGGTAAGTTGGTCAGAGGTTAGTGTGCTGAGTGGAGGTGTGAGTATATTGGAGTGATGCCAGAGACATGGTTGTTTTTTATTGGAATTGTATTTAGAAAGTGTAAGAAACTTGTACAGTTTTAAAACTGCTTCATAATGGAATGGGCCTTTTAGAATGTTCTTATTCACCATGGGTATTTTTGTTTTTAATCCACAAATTAGGCTGCAAGGTGGTTGTGGTAATATCAGTCCAGGGTGATTTTTTTTTTTAATTTTTTTTTAAGAGATGACACATGGATAATCAGCTTGAAAATATATTCATGCTGATTAGAAATTTATGTAAGAGCTAATGTGTTTTAATTGATACAAATTCTTTAAAGCTCAAAATGTAGAATATTCTAATAAGGCTCAAATTTAAGCTGCTGAAGAAAAGGATTTTTGTTGCGTTCTGAGATTAAATGCTGTACAGATGATAAGTTTGTAACGATACATTTTGGATACTAACCAAAGCAATTCTAATTGGTGAAGTTACCCAGTTGCTCACTTGGTGCTAAACCAAGATTGTACTGTAATTGCACTTATGCTGTGGTCTTTTAATTTATTTTTTATTTGGTCCACTAGAGCTTTAGAATGATCACCTTGTTTTACCTAATTCATTGCACAAGATCTCTTGCTTTTAGATTCATCACTTATCATACCTAATGCCTCTTTTTTTTGTTTGCTTGTTTTTAATTTGCAGAATTTTGTAGTTATTTTTAAACTTCTAACTGGACTACTCAATTTTTACCAGGCTTAATTGCATTTAGTACATGTGTGTCAATTGCTGGCATTAAAAAGAAGCTATAATATTCAGCCTTTCATTCCCACTGTTCAGTAGAACTAATTTACAGCCAGTTATTTGTATTTACTTTCCCAGTAAATATGAATGCACTATTTGGAGACATTCATCTATTTTTCTCTTCTGGTTTGTAATGATAAATTTATTAAAGATAGTGCATAATATTTGGGAACTGTAGAACTATAGTTATCACTGTTATTTTCATATTTTAATTAGAAAAACTAAATCTGAGCTTCTCATGTTTCCTGACTCACGTAACATACACAAGTTGAATTTAAATGTTTTCGTAACACTCCTTATTAACATTTGTGGGAAACACTTTCTCTATAAATTTGGGTGCCATCTTGGTCTTTTTCTTGCTGTAAAGAATTAAAATAGAATCTATCAGCCCTACCAATGTTTTGCAGAGGTCATCTCTTGTACCTATAGGGCTTTGATACGCAAAAAGCATGTTTGATAGCACAATTACTTACAGCATTACAATTATTTAGCAGCCAAAATGGCAAACATTTAAATGTATAACTGAAGTGCTGCTCAGTATGTAACATTTGCTTTAAACATACATTGTATGTGTAACTCTAATTTTTAATCGGTCAGCTCTCAAGTGTAGTATGACATTTTAAGCATTGATCACAGTACATGAATTCATTTGTTATATACGATGCCTTTTTAATGTAAAGTCGCAACATCAAAGCCAATAAAAATACTGCTTGGTAATAATGGTTTGATGTTTTTCTTACCTATATATAAAAACTTGAAAATGATACTGGGTACTTAAACTATACTATGTCAATCAGGCCTGGTTCGAATATGAGTAGAAGAATGAGTTTGAAGTACTCATATGAGAAAACATTTTTTTCTCTTTTGAATTCTGTAAAGAAACATATTGATTTTTGATATATAATTGCCTTTTAGCTATTTAACTTTTTTAATATACGTGGAAGATATATGTCTTCTGAGTGAATATTGAGAGCTTGTGCATGAATAGGTTTCAATTAGATTTATTAATGCAAGGAGCATAATGAAGTCTAAGGACTTCATATGAAGTTCAAACTTCAACCAAAACAAGCCAAAGATTTGCAACAGAAATAGCAGAGATGCTTTTAAGAAACATATAATGGCGCGTTCTCCTGTTGATACCCTCAAAAGCTTGAGGAGACAATTTTTTTGTTGTTGTTCTTTTTGTCCCTTCTCTTTCCCACTGCTTTAAATATCATGTTTCAATTCTGTATGGTAAAGTTGCGGAGATCTGCTGGATGGAACAATGCTGCAACTGAACTTAATATTTGAACAAAAAAGTGTTGGTAGTGTCCTTAAGCATGAGTTTATATGCAGCTGTATTGTGTGTAGTTATGAAGGAGCTACTATGCAATGATTTGGGAACTCTAAAATTATGCTGCTTAATTTAAATACTTTCTGAATTTATTATTGCTAAATATTTACCTTGTAAAGACAGAATGTGAAAGATTTTTTTATCTTTGTAGGTAGATACTTTACTTTAGTAAAGACATAAGAGTTTAGAAGTTACTAAATTACTATTTTTTCAATTTGAGACCAGTTAATGCTAGTATGTAAAATATTATCAACTTTAATCACTAGGTATTATTCTAGAAAGATACATAAAATTTTCAAGTAGCAATTCTCAACCTGCAATATAAATACCCTTTCTGTGTAGGGATTCAAAATCACAAAGCACAGCGTGGTTAGAATGCCTAGAATGTCTGTCAGTCCATAGACTCACTTATATTGACATCTGTGCTTCCAAAGATGTTTGTGTGTAGCTAGTTCCATGTTAATCAGCATATGTGAAATTGCTATTAATAAATTTATTAGAATTTAATACCGCTGAACATTTCCTGTAAAATTAAACAATACTCCAAAATCTGTGCAGCACAGGTAGAGATCAAGTCTCCCAACCCCATGTTCCAAGAAATACAGTTGCATTTTCTTTTTCTTGTCAGTTAAGGAGTTTGCTCTGGGGATTCTTTCAGCAATATATCATTTGCAGCAGTAGTAACGTACATTGCTAAATGATGAATTTGTCAGTATGGTTGAATGCTGTTAATTGTTTTGTATCTGTTACCAGTGGAAACGAGAGCAAGAATTTGATTTGCAGTTACTTGAGAGGGCAATTCGTGGAGAAGACAAGGATGAAAATGAATGGTTAAAAGTTCAGCCTGTAGCAGTGACAGAGACAGACCTGGAGCCTCAAGACTATGATTTGGATATCAGCAGAGAGGTAACACTCATCAGTTTTTGCCTTCCATTCTGTGCCCCAAAATATTAACCTTTCTAAGTTTTAGGTAGTGAATTCTCATCCTTTTTTTCAAAAGTTAGCTGGAAGTTTGAACTAAAAGATGTCTTTTGGGTATTGAAAATTTATGGCTTTGCACTTAGAGTCTCTGTAAGGATTGTGTTCTGTTTTAGTGGAGGGAAGAAATTGAAAGGTTTTTCTACTGTTTGAGATAGACATCTCAGGCTTTGTAGAAGAAAATGGGATTAAGTTAGACAATGTTATATAAATTGGAAAAAAAAGATGAGAATCACAGAATGGCAGGGGTTGGAAGGGACCTTCGGAGATCATCTAGTCCAACTCCCCTGCCAGAGCAGGGTCATCTAGAGCAGGTTGGACAGGAACGCACCCAGGCAGGTTTTGAATATCTCCAGGGGAAGAGACTCCACAACCTCTCTGGGCAGCCTGTTCCAGTGCTCGGTCACCCTCAAAGCAAAGAAGTACTTCCTTATGTTCAGGTGGAATTTCCTGTGTTCCGCCTTGTGTCTGTTGCCTCTTGTCCTGTCGCTGGGTACCACTGAAAAAAGTATGACCCCATCCTCTTGACACTCTCCCTTTAGATATTTTAAAGCATTGATGAGATCCCTTCTCAGTCTTCCCTTCTCCAGGCTAAACAGACTCAAGTCCCTCAGCCTTTCCTCATAAGAGGGGTGTTCCATTCCCCTGATCATCTTCATAGCCATTTGCTGTACTGTCTCCAGCAGTTCCCTGTCCCTCTTGAACTGGGAAGCCCAAAACCAAACACAGTACTCCAGATGTGGCCTCACCAGGGCAGAGTAGAGGAGCAGGATGACTTCCCTCGACCTGCTGGCCACACTCTTTTTAATGCACCCCACAATAGCATTGGTGGTCTTGGCCACAAAGGCACATTGCTGCCTCACGGTCAACTTGTCATCCACCAGGACTCCCAGGTCCCTCTCTGCAGAGCTCCTTCCAGCAGATCAGCCCTGAACCTGCACTGCTGCATGGGGTTATTCCTCCCTAGGTGGAGGGCACTACACTCGCCCTTGTTGAACTTCATTAGGTTCCTCTCTGCCCAAGTCTCCAGCCTTTCCAGGTCTTGCTGAGTGGTAGCACAGCCTTCTGGTGCGTCAGTTTTGTGTCATAAGCAAACTTGTGGAGGGTACGCTCTGTCCCCTCATCCAGGTCATTGATGAGTATGTTGAATAAGACTGGACCCAGTACTGACCCCTGGGGAACACTGCTAGTTTCGGGTCTTCAACTTGGCTCTGTACCACTGATTATAACCCTCTGGGCTGTGCCATTCAGTCAGTTCTCAATCCACCTCACCGTCCACTCATCAAACCCACACTTTCTAAGCTTACCTATGATGAAGTTATGGGAGACAGCGTCAAAAGCCTCGCTGAAGTCAAGGTAGACAATGTCCACTGCTCTCCCCTCATCTACCCAGTCAGTCATGCCATCATAGAAGGCGATCAGATTGCTCAAGCATGATTTCCCATTGGTGAATCTATGTTGACCACTCCCAATAACCTTCTTTTCCTCTACATGCTTAGAGATGACATCCAGAATGAGCTGTTCCATCACCTTTCCAGGAAGAGATGAGACTGACTCACCTGTAGTTTCCTGGGTCCTCGCTCTTGCCCTGTTTGAAGACTGGTGTGGCATTAGCTTTCCTCCAGTCCTCAGTCACTTCTCCTGTTCTTCATGACCTTTCCAAGATGATGCAGAGCGGCTTCGCGATAACATTCACCAGCTCCATTAGCACTCGTGGGTGCATCCTGTCATGGCCCATGGATTTCTGGGTGTCGAGTTTGCCTAAATGATCTCTAGCCCAATCATCCTTGACCAAGGGAAAGTCTTCCTTTCTCCAGTTTCTCTGTCTTACTTCCAGGGTCTGGGATTCCTGAGTGCTGGCCTTAGCGGTAACGACTGAAGCAAAGGCGGCATTCAGTAACTCCACCTTCTCTGCATTCTCCATCACCAGGCACCCACCTTATTCAGCAGTGGGCCCACATTTTTCCTAGTCTTCCTTTTACTACTGATGTACTTGAAGAATCCCTTCTTGCTGTCCTTGACATCCCTTGACACGTTTAATTCCAAGTGGGCCTTAGCTTTCCTCATTGCATCCCTGCATACCCTGACAACGTTCCTATATTTCGCCCAAGCAACCAGTCCCCTTTTCCATATTCTGTAGATTTCCTTCTTCCATTTGAGTTTTTGCAGAA